TCACAATAAAATCTATTGCGTTATGAGGGGTTTTTTTTGAAGATTTTATTTATTTGTTTTAGAGAGAGAGAGCAAGCAGGGAGAGGGGCAGAGGAAGAGGGAGAGAGAGCATTTCAAGTAGACTCGCTGAGCACAGAGCCCACCGTGGGACTCGATCCCACTACTCCATTATCACGACCGCAGCCATAACCAAGAGTCAGACACTTAACTGAGCCACCCACCTGCCCCTGCATTAAGAGTTTTCAACATTTAGCCATTCTCTTGTTGATAGACATTTGGATTGGTTCCAGTTTTCCATAATTATAAACAACGATGCTATAAACATTCTTATACATTTCCCCTACTCCACCATCTAGAAATCTAGAAATGGAATTATTCAGTCATAGTTTGTACACACCTTCAATACCCAAGCGTGATCAAAGATCTATCTTCCTACAGGCAGTGCAGAAGGATTTCTTGTTGTTCCATATTTTCATCAATACTTGATATCCTCACTTCCCCTCCCCCCAGTCTGATGGGTATGAAATCGTAACTAATTCTAGCTTTAATTTGCATTTCCATGATTACTACTAAATTTGAGATTACAGACCATCTAGGTTTCTCTTTTTCGAATTGCCTGTTTGTAGCCTTTGCTCATTTTTATCACTTTGTTTTTATGAGTTTATATGAGGCTATCTTTTTCTTACTGAGAGTAAGAAACTCCTTTATAAATTCCAGTTACCACCCTCAGCAAGTTACATGTGTTGTAAATATCTTCCTCCCTGTGTCTGGCTTGCCTTTTCCTCTTGTTTCTGTGCCGTGCTAAAGCTTTATATGTTTTTTTTCCCAAAGATTTTATTTATTTGACAGAGAGAGACACAGCGAGAGAGGGAACACAACCAGCGGGGAGTGGGAGAGGGAGAAGCAGGCTTCCCACTGAGCAGAGAGCCGGACGTGGGGCTCCATCCCAGGACCTGGGATCATGACCTGAGCAGAAGGCAGATATTAAAGACTGAGCCACCCAGGTGTCCCTCTCATAGCAGTTTATAATGTTAATTTTTTTCAGTTAAATTTTTTATTTTGAGATAACTATAGATGCACATGCAATTGTTAAGAAATAATACAGAGAGTCCACGTACTTTTACCCAGTTTTCCCAAAGATAATATCTCATGAAAATTTTAATACAATAGAACAAATAGGATATTAACTTTGAGAGTCAAGACAGAGAGCATTGCCTTCATGTTGTCCTTTTATAGCCACGTTCACTTTCCTCCTGCCCCACCCCTCCTTAACCTCTGGCAACCACTAATCTGTTCTCCATTTCTATAATTTTGTCATTTTCAAGAATGTTATATAAATGGAATCATGCAGAATGTAACCTTTTGGGATGAGCTTTTTTCTTTTCTTTTTTTTTTTTAAGATTTATCTATTTATTATATATATATAGAGAGAGAGCATGCACGAAAAGTGGGGAGGGACAGAGGGATAAGGAGAATACTTGAGCAGACTTACTGCTGAGGAGGGAGCCCCATGGGAGCTTGATCCCAGGACCCTGAGATCATGACCTGAGCTGAAGTCAAGAGTTGGTGGCTCAACCAACTGAGCCACCCAGGAGCCACTGGGATTGGCTTTTTTCACTCAGCATAATTCTCTGGGGATTCATCCAGTTGTTGTGTGTATCAATAATTTATTCCTTTTAATTCTGAGTAGTACTCTGAAGTATGGATATACTATAGTTTGTTATACCGTTCAGCTGTAAAAGGATATCTGGGTTGTTTCCAGTTTTTGACTAATAACGTTACCATCAGCATTCATGTACAGGTTTTTGGGTGAATATATGTTTTCGTTTCTCTGGGATAAATGTGCAAGGTTGAAATTGGTGGGTCGTATGGTACTTGCATGTTTAGTCTTACAAGAAACTGACAAACTGTTTTCCAGATTGGCTATACCATTTTATATTCCCACCAGCAATGAATGAGTGATATAATTTTTTTGCATCCTTGCCAACATTTAGTATTTTTACTATTTTCTATTTTAGTGATTCTGATAGATATGTAGTGATATCTTGTGGCTTAAATTTTCATTTCCCTACTAACTAATTATATTGACTATCTTCCCATGTGCTTGTTTTTGCCATCTGTATACCTTTTTCAGTGAAATATTTCTTATCTTTTGTTCATATTCTAATTGGATTGTTTATTCTATTACTGTTGAGTTTTTTCTTTAATTCTTTTAAATGGAGATGTAATGGACATATAACATTTACTATAGTTTTGAGAGTACTTTCTAGATAGTAGCTCTTTGTCGGATGTATGGTTTGCAAATATTTTCTCCCGATTTGTAGCTTTGCTTTTCCATCTTTTTTAACAGTCTTCTGCAGATCAAAAGTTTTTGTTTTGATGAAGTCCAATATATCAGTTTTTCCCTTTATAAATCATGCTTTTGGTGTCAAATCTAAGAATTCTTTGCCTGTCCATAGATCCTGAGATTTTTTTTTCCCTAAAAGTTTTATAATTTTACATTGAAGTCTGTGATTTGTTTGGAATTTTTGTATAGCTGTGAGACTTAGGCCAAGGTTCATTTTTTTGCCTGTGGATTTCCAATTGCTTCAGCACCCATTTATTGAAAAGGCTATCTTTCTTCCATTGAATTGCTTTTGCTTTTGTCAAAAATCAGGTAGGCAGATTTGTGTGGGTCTATTTCTGGGTTCTCTGTCCTGTTCCATTAATCTATGTGTCTATCCCTCCAGCAATACCACACAGTCCTTGATTACTGTAGCTACATACTGTCTTGAAGTTGAGTAGACTGATTCCTACTTTATTCTTCTTTTTCAAAATTATTTGTTATTCTTGTTTCTTTGTCTTTTCAGAAAAAATTTAGAATAATCTTGTTCATACAGACAAGAAATCTTGCTGGGGTTTTGATAGGACTTGCATCAAATCTTTATATAAATTTGGAGAGAATTGACATCTTCACTATATTGAGTCTTCCAATCCACAAACATAATGTATATCTCCATTCATTTAGATCTTTGATTTCTTTCATCAGCAATTTGTACTTGCAGCATACAAATCCTGTACATATTTTGTTTGATTTACACCTAAGTGGGTTTTTTTTAGTGATTATAAATTTGTAATTTTGGTGTTCATTGCTAGTATGTAGAAATGAACTTAATAAAAAAAAAGAAATGCAATTGGGTTTTGTATGATTATTTTATATCCTGCAATATTGTTAAACTCACTTATTTTTAAAATAGATTTCTTGGGATTTTCTACATATACTGAAATATGTACAGATATGATATATTATATATATGATGTCTGAGATTTGCTTCAAAATAATCTTGGTAGGAGTAGTGGGTGGGGATATAGATGAAACACAACTGTGAGTTGATAATTGGTAAATCTGGATAATAGGTACACGGGGGTTTAGTATACTACTCTTAGTATCTTTGTATATGTTTGCAATTTTCCTTTTTTTTTTAAGATTTTATTTATTTATTTGACAGTGAGAGACAGTGAGAGAGGGAACACAAGCAGGGGGAGTGGGAGAGGGAGAAGCAGGCTTCCCACTGAGCAGGGAGCCCGATGCGGGGCTCAATCCCAGGACCCTGGGATCATGACCTGAGCCGAAGGCAGACGCCTAATGACTGAGCCACCCAGGTGCCCCTATGTTTGCAATTTTCTAACATAAAAAACAGTTCTCAGCTGTTACTCCCTGTAAACGCTGCAGGGTAAAGACCTAGTGGTTGACATGTCATTCAAGACCGTTGATGATCTGACCTCCCCCATCATTATCCAATTGTTCCTTGAACAATTAACAAAGGAACCTCTCTCTGTACGTTTCATAGCTGGCTAAAGGCTATTTTCAGTCCCAGCTCTGTGTTTTCGCTCCTGCTGCACTGACTCTCCTCTCTTCCCCAAGAGGCTCTTCCCTCTCCTCTCAACATGAAATCCCACTCAGCCTACGGAAATCAGCTCCAGAACCAAGAGGCCCTCCGCTAATCACTCTGGCCACATTCATCTCCCCCTTTCTGACCTTCCAGAACTCCATCATTATCATTCATTCCAGCATAACATAGTGGTTAAGAGTGGTTATGGAGCCAGGCTGCCTGTATTTGGGTCCTGTCTCCACTGTTTACTAGCAGTGTCACTTTGAGCAGGTTGCTTAAACTCTGTGCCTTAATTACTTCTTCCATAGAATGGAAATGCTGATGGTATTTACTTTATAGGGTAGTTGGGAGGATTAAATGGGCCATACATGTGAAGAATTCAGCAGAGTACTCAGCACATCGTAAATATTCCATATCCAGTGATTTCATTTATGCAGAGAACTTTTCTGGCAACCCACTAGTCCTGTCTCTGCCCCCACCCCATCCTGCCCCACCCAGCCTTCCCAGGGACCCTAATTAGTTGGAATGCACCCAGAAGCCAAAGTTCATCCAGGACGAAGGTAATGATGGGGACCGTACAAACTATCAAGGATAGAAACCAAGGTTTCTAAGTCTGGATGTGCAAACCGTTTATGGAAACTCCAAGGTGTCCTCTTCCTGTGTGCTCTCAGGACAGAAAGCCTAGACAGAGACACCAGTTCTCAGAGGAACTGGACAGGAGGCGGGAGATGAAGAAGGGAGGAACCCTGGATATTTTCTGGGCCAATCTGGGTGATCTTATCTTGTGCTAAAGAATGTTTGGGGTTATTTTAGAGCAATAGCTGTCTTGACTGTCCTTTAATATCTATATACTTTTTGTACATTCCCTCTGTATTTCAAGGGAAAGGGTTTTTTTCATTAAACCCAAACCAAACCAAACCAAATTAGCTCTTTACATCCTAAAACATAATATGACCAATTTGCAGATGTTTCAATATGTACATAAAAAGGGAAAAAAATTACTGCATAATCCCATCATTTCAATAGAACCTCACTTATTTTATTATTTTTTCTTTCCTTCTCTTCCTATATGTATTTTTTTCTTTCCAGGGATATTTTTCCATAGTTGTAATAATGATGTATATATACTTTTTAAAAAAAAAGTTTTTATTCAAATTCCAGTTAGTTAACATACAGCGTAATATTAGTTTCAGGTGTACAATATAGTGATTCAACACTTCCATACAACACCTTGTACTCATCACAAGCGCACTCCTTATGTATATATATATTTTTATATATAAACTTCTCATTTTTGAATAATTTTAGACTTACAGAAAGGTTGCAAAGATAGTGAGAGTTCTTGAAAATTTCAGTTTTCACTAATGTTACCACCTTACATTTTTCAACACTAAGAAACCAACATTTTTACATTACATTTAATCAAACTTTAGATTTTATTTAGATTTTACCAGTTTTGCTGCTGATGTTTTTTTTTTCTTTCAGGATCCAATTCAGGATGGAACATTGTATTTAATCGTGTCTCCTTAGGCTCTTCGGGTGTGTGGCAGTTTCTCAGTCTTTCCTTGTTTTTCATGACCTTGCCAGTTTTGAGGAGTACTGGTCAGCTATTTTGTAGAAAGTCCTCAAATTGGGTTTGTCTTACGTTTCTCTCATGATTATATTGAGGTTATGAGTTTTTGGAAAGAATACCACAGAAGTGATGTGCCCTTCTCATCACATTATATCCAGGATGCATAATATCCACATGACATCACTGGTGGTATTCACCTTCATCACTTGGTTAAGGTAGTATTGGCCAGGTTTCTCCATTATAAACTTGCTCTTTTCTCTTTCCATACTTTTTTTTTTTTTTTTGAGAGAGAGAGAGAGTGCGAGTGGGGTGGGGGTGATGGGCAGAGGGAAAGGGAGAGAGAGTCTCTAGCAGGCTCCATGCCCAGTACAGAGCCTGACACTGGGCTCGATCTCACAACCCTGAGATCATGACCAGAGCTGAAATCAAGAGTTGGACGCCCAACTGACTGAGCCATGCAGGCACCAACCCCCTTTTTTTTTTCCTTTGTAAGTGAATCACTAATTCTAATCCATCTTCAAGGGAAGAGAGGATTAAGCTTCTCCTCTCCAGGAGAAGACAAATCTTCTGTAAGACTTGTCTCTTACTGGGGCGCCTGGGTGGCTCAGTCGTTAAGCAGCTGCCCTCGGCTCAGGTCATGATCCCAGGGTCCTGGGATTGAGCCCCGCATCGGGCTCCCTGCTCTGCAGGAGGCCTGCTTCTCCCACTCCCACTCCCCCTGCTTGTGTTCCCTCTCTCGCTGTGTCTCTCTCTGTCAAATAAATAAAAAAAATCTTAAAAAAAAAAAAAGATTTGTCTCTTATTTATTTATTCTATCACTTATATATATCAGTAAAGATTCATGTATATTTGACATATTATTTTCTCCCTTTGTTTCAATAAAACATTGTGTTTTAAGCTTTTTTTTTCTCTGTTACCATCATGGTCTTTACAATGGTTGCATCTATTTGGGGATATGTTCCATTGACTTTGAACTCTTATAAATTATGCTGCAGCTAACACCTTTTGAAGCAATGTTCTATGATTGTATTTAAGCTCTGGCATGATTGATGTCTGGTAGACAGAAACATAGTAAGTTTATTTAGGATATATGTATGTATATATGGATGGATGGATGGATGCTGGTCTGGCATTCTTTTTTCCCCCTTTTGAACAGTGTTCTTGAGCTTAGCCTATGTAGATCTCAAGCCTACGTTAAATGTTGGGAAGAGAAGCTTGAGAACTTGCTGGAAATCAGGCTTTGACTTTGTGTGAACCATAACTACTTTGTAACAATACACAACGCATCTTAGGACAAGTAAGATTTTGTACTGTAAGCTATTTTTCTATCTCTAGTTGGAAATTGTTTGGACATTTTAACAGCTTCTGCAGTTTTTCACGTGGTTTTATCATTCTTCTCTCAGCTTACCTTGTAGACATGAAGATTTTTAAATTCCTAGGGTGTTTTTAGGGCATCTAAATATCATCCTGTCTCCCAGCTTAGTCCCTGGAAAGGAAAGCCTGGCCGTTTAATAATAAAGTGAGTAAAGGACATTTGGAATGTTACCTTCCCTGATAATGGCTGCTGGACAAAACAAAACAAACAGTTGCAAAGTAGCTGAGGGAAGAGAAGGGAGATGCGTCTATTTTTATCACACTAAGATTTAGGAAAGTAACCACTGCAGAGATTTGGTGCCAAGGAGTAAGAGAGCTAAGAGGTGTGGTAATCAGAGGTAAAGTCAGAACAATCCTGGCCCTTGTCCCACAGTGTACTTCTGATCATTCTTGTTCCCGTGTAGAACAGGCAGTCCTTACATTCCAATGGCCACCTGGCCATTCATGTATTCATCCCATTCATTCACTTGTCTGTTGTGCTATTAGAGAAAATGCTAAATAATAAGACTGTGTGCGAAGTGTTCTAACAAGAGGCACGGAGAGAGTGCTAAGTAAGGGCTCACACAGGATGGGTACAGAATAGATCAGAGAAAACCAGGATGAAGCTGAGTTAGCTCTTCAAAGGAAGAAGGATAAAGGTGTAGTTGGGAAACCGCTAGTCGTTCAGGGAATAGGAGGAGGTGAAATGAGGAAGCTAAAGTGTGGCCATGGATGGAAGATCCTACATGTGCCTGGGGAAGGAACCAAACTTCATCTTGCAGAGAGAAAGAGTGGTGAGTTTTAGGCAGAGGAGTGTGACCTCACAGTAATGTTTTCCATCCCTCCCCTGCCTCACTCTCTTCATCCCCACTGTGGAGGGCAATTTGGCAAGATTTACCAAAATTACAAATGCACGCACCTTTCGTGCTGGTTGTTCCACTGTGGGGACTTGATCCTACAGATACACTTGCACCCATATAAAATAACGTATGACCAGGTTTTTCATTGCAGCATTGTTTGTATTAACAATAGATGGGAGAACTTAAATGCCCATCAAGAGGTAACTGGTTGAATCAAGTATGGAAAACGTGCCGCTATAAAAAAGAATAAGGAAACTCTTTGTGTACTGATAAAGAAAATTCTTTTAAGATATCGTTTAAAAAAAAAAAAGCAAGGTACATAAATGTATATATAATACGCCAATTTTTTAAAAGGGTGAAGAATAAGAAGTGTGTATCTTGGGGGTGCCTGGGTGGCTCAGTCAGTTAAGCAACTGCCTTCAGCTCAGGCCATGATCTTAGGGTCCTGGGATCAAGCCCCGAGTCCAGATCCCTGCTCAGCAGGGAGTCTGCTTCTCTCGCTCCCTCTGCAGCTCCTTCCCCCCCCCACCCCCGCTTGTGTGCTCTCTCTCCTTCTCCTTCTAATAAATAAAACCTTTTTTAAAAAAAGTATATACTTTGGGTTTTTAAAAAAAGATTTATTTATTTATTTGAGAGAGAGAGAGAGAGGGCAGGGGGCAGAGGGAGAGACTCTCAAGCAGACTCCTTGCTGAGCGTGGAGCTCGATCTCAGCATCCTGAGATCATGACCTGAGCCAAAACCAAGAGTCGGACGCTTAACTGACTGAGCCACCCAGGAGCCCCAGAATAAAAAGTATATATTATTTGCTTCTATTTCCATAAAGAAACTCTCTAGGATAAATGGAAAAGTAATGAGGGGCTACCAAAGGGGGTGAGGCAAAAATTGGGCACATGGCTATAGAAATGGGAGACTTTTCGCTGTATACTTTTTTGTGGACTTTAAGCATGTGAATGTATTAGAAATTAAATACTATTGAATAAACAAAAGAGAAAGAGAGAGAAGCAGCTCTCTTTCATTCCCTTTTCCTCTGTGGGCCTCATTCCTGCTTTTCACCGTGTCAGGACTTTCTTTTAGTTAGATCTGTGGTTGTGGGGCTTCCAGTGATTAAGGGAGAAATTACGAATCTTGTTTTAGTCCGTTGCGCAGGGAGACCTGTTGTTGGCATCCAGGCTGAATTTCTTTCCTCAGATTTTAAGTGGCAAAGGCTAGGAGGGGAGGAGGGAAAGGAGAGAAAAGTGCCCTCTACTTGCTTGTCTCGCCCTCTTCGCTGCTAGTGCCGAAGCCGTTGTGGGCCGCCTTTGGAGACAGTGGACTGGGGCAGAAGCTGGGAGGCTGGCTTCTGTTCCTGCCCTGGCCACTGGCAAGAGAAAACCAGTTGAGAACTACCAACATCACTGTTTGAAAGGTAAACAAGTGCGACACTGCCAGCGCGGTGAGAGAAAAGGACAGGACCTAGGGTGACAAAGCTGTCGGAAGGTTTCAGGTCATCTGTGCCGTGCTGCGCTGTCACAGACTTGCATCCTGCTGGTCTGCTGCAGCCCCTCAGGAGGCTGGTCACTAAAACTCTCACCTACCTAAGAGCCCTGCCACCACTCTAGATTTATTTTAACCCACTAACCCTCACCTTGCTGGTCTGGTATTAAGACACTGTAATGATACTGGGATACCTGACAGAATCCATGGGAAATTAACGACTAAGTCTCTGATGTCCCTCCAAAGCCTCCAGAAGCAGTTCACAGAAAAGGGGGAGACAAGAGTATACGTAAAACACAGCCTCATGTTCTCCATACTCCTAAAGGAGTAGTGCTAAGCAGATTCCCTTTCCTTTTTAATCACATTCGTCTTTGATCCCAAGAACATTAAGCTCGCGATGGGTGAGCGTGGGCCATCTGGCAGCTGCTATCCCTAAAATTTTAAGCAAGCAGTTTGATATCCTGGAGACTGGATATGGGAGAAGACTGTAGCTGATCAGTGCGGAAGAGTCAGCAGGATAGGGTGGGCATAGTGATCCCTTTTCCCCATACTCTAAGCCAGAAGTTCATAGGAAAAAGGAAGCAGGCTTGGGCCTCACTTTAACCAAGATGCTATAAAGACTGTGCCTACTCTTTATACCATTAGAGGGTATAGCAAATCTACACATGCTTGGGGCCACAGGGAATGATGAATAACAGTCAAGGTCACAGTGGATGACTGCCCAGCTCACAGCTCCCCTTTCTTTGGGGTGTGCCCTAATACTCTGGGGTGAGTCCCCAACACAGTCACTACTCTTGGGCCTGCCTCACTGGCAGCAGGCTCAAGGGGTTTGCAAATCCTGCAACCTAGGGTTCCTAGGGCTGTCCTGGTCTCTGCACTTCCTGGGACTTAGTTGCTAATTTTCTTGTGTTCTGTCATTTCTCCCAGTATCTTTCCAATATCTTGCCCCTCAGCCTTTCGTTCCACTGATTTAAAATGCCCGAGTCACTGTAGAACATTTGGAATGCATCTTGTTTTCATTTTTTTTTATTATTATTTTTTAAAGATTTTATTTATTTTTATTTGACACAGAGAGAGAGATAGAGAGAGAGCACAAGCAGGGGGAGCGGCAGGCAGAGGCAGAGGGAGAAGCAGGCTGCCTGCTGAGCAAGGAGCCCGATGCGGGGCTCGATCCCAGGACCCTGGGATCATGACCTGAGCCGAAGGCAGCCGCTTAACTGACTGAGCCACCCAGGCGCCCCTGGAATGCATCTTGTTTTCAGACGTCCGGGGTGATGAGCGGACAGTGATGACAATATTCCACACCCTCGTCCAACTCAACATAATTTCTCTCTTGAATCGCTGCAGCCAACCCTCTAGAAGATCCCACTGCTTCTACTCTTGCTTTACTCTATTTATTCTCTGAAAAGTACACACTGACATTTTAACCAGATGAGTCACTCCTCTGACTAAAACTCTTCGATGGCTTTCCAATGTTATAAGAATAAAAGCTAAAATTTGCAGTTCAGTCCTTTTTGCAGCTCCTTGCCCAAACCCCTCATGTATCGGCACCAACACATGCCGGTCCTCATCTGGAGCCCTTTTCTCCCTACGCTGCCTCATCAGGGGCCTTCCTTGTCTCCAATCTAAATTATTATTATTTTTTTTTAATTTAGTAGCATCTACTCTTTTCCTTCATAGCTCTTATTACAGCTTGTAATTACATACTCATTTTGGTGACTTTTGGGCAATGTCTGCCTCCCCCTCAAGACTCTAAGCGCCCTAGAGGTAGGGATTGCCTCCATTTTGCTCCCTGCAATAGCCACAGAGCCTAGCACAGAAACTGGCATACAGCAGCTACCCAAATATTTGATGGGATGATTAAATAGGAAGAGACTGGCATGGCTAGAGAGGGTTGAGATATAAGATAAGAACCTGAATTTGTGAGCACCTGAGTGGCTCAGTCATTAAGCGTCTGCCTTCGGCTCAGGTCATGATCCCAGGGTCCTGGGATCGAGTCCCACATCGGGCTCCCTGCTCGGCAGGAAGTCTGCTTCTCCCTCTCCCACTCCCCCTGCTTGTGTTCCTGCTCTTGCTATCTCTCTGTCAAATAAATAAATAAAAATCTTTAAAATAATAATTAAAAAAAAGAACCCGAATTTGTGTGCTAATGATAGAAAAAGAATGAGGTAGGTTTATTTTCAAGAGAAAAATCAGCAGAACTTGATGACAGGTGGTAGGAAGGAGATAATACTTTATTAGCAGAATATGCTACCTGACTCAGAGAGAAAGGAGTTGAAGACAACCAAATTTTCAAGCTGGGGTAACTACTGGTTAGGTTTGGGGAAATATATTCATGTTGGTTTTAGACATTATCAGTGGGAGCTGACCAAGGGACATCAAAGCAGAAATGTTCAGAAAGTTGCAGGGTGAAGCTGGAGCTCCAATGGGCCAAGAGCATAAAAGAGAAACTCAGAGGAAGTTGTTCACAGAACTGAGAACCAAAGGATCTGATACAATTTAGATGCTGTAGAGAGAAAGATTTACCTCACTTTATTTTTATTTTCTTTCATTTTTAAAGATTTTTTTTTAATTTTTAAGTATGCTCTGCACCCAATGTGGGGCTTGAACCCACAACCCCGAGATCAAGAGTCGCACGTTCCACCGACTGAGCCAGCCAGGCACCTGACTTTAAAATAAGATATTCACATCAAGAGGATGGGTAGGGGGCACTGGTAATGACCAGCGCCCATATCTTTGATAGATGAAGAAACAGAAATCCAGAGAAGCAAAGTGATCTGCTCAAGGTCACACAGCAAGTCAGTGACAACACATTCTCACACCCATTTTTCCTGACTTGGAAAGTCCAGTTTTCTTTGCATTATAATTCAGAAACCTCCTGAATTTTCATACATGCCTGCTTTACAGTGGACACTCAATACCATTTCCTGATAGTCAAGGCAGACAAATAAAAGGCAGGAATTTCATTTCCTTAGTTTATTAAAGATGACAATAAACTGTTGGGCTATGTATGAATTACAGCGAGTAGAAATCCAGTTCAGAACACGAGTTGTACACAAACAGAACATCTCTCTTTAGACTCTTGCTCCTTTTATGTTAATTCAACAAAAGCTCTAAAGCCTTGGCAGAGAAAGTCAACAACAGCCTCATTTAAGTGGAAAATATCTGCCTTCCACTCTTCTGCTATGTCTTGAACCTTGTCTCTACCTTGTAAGCAAACTTTTAACCTTTTTCCCTTTATTTATAAAAAAGAACACTTCTTCCCTCCCTTTTCATTCAGAAGGAAAGCTCTTCAGTGCATTCAAAGCTTTTCCCCACAACAGCAGGGGGTTTTTAGATACCGCTGTAAGTTGCAAAGTGCTTTCAAACATCCCATACTCTTTCCTCTCTCTCTTTCCTCTCAAATAAATAAATAAATGGGTATTTGGATAGTGATGACAGCAGAGTGTCAGGGTCACTAAAACAGATACGCAATCTAAGGAGATGGAATGGGGAAGGTAGAGAAAAATAAGTGAAAAACCAGGAGCATGTGAGATTGTTGAGCTCAACTTTGGAAACTGCCAGCATTTTCCATCCTTTGGTCCTCTGCTAATACAAAACAGGCAGGACAATAATGACAGTGCATCTCTCCTCCAGTGTAGTGACTTAAGAGTAAGGAGCTAGATGTGTAATTTATACCAAAACTGGACACAGCTCACCATTTTTTTACAAACCCCTGAACCCGAATCGGAGGCCTAACCCTTAGTAAGACTTGAGTTGTGTGGGGCCAACGGAGGACAACGGAGCTCCTAGTTAGCCCCTCAAAACCGGGCTGGGCTGGAGGCCTTGGCTTTCAGAGCCTCCCCCACGAACTAAAGGGAGAACAGCCTCAGGGTCTTCCGGCCTGATCCTAAGTCTGAGGCAGAGAGACCAGCGCTGTGGGTCACTTCCTCCCTGCTCCCTCCGGCCCAGGTGAAGCCTCAGCTCTGGCCATTACTTTACTGCCCCTTCTACTTCCTGTGAGACTCCTGGTGGCCTCCAGCTCAGCCACTCATCAGCTTCCACTGACCACGTGCTACTTTCTGTTCAGCTTCTTGGGGCAGCGTCCACAGCAAGTTTTTTCTACTAGCAACCAATTATGGAAACATACGTATATAAGAAGTCAGTCCCAGAAAAAAAGTGCTGTGGGCTCTTGTTCACAGAGCTGCCAGCCCTCAGAACAGCACCCCCGGCCAGTGTTCTAGGTAGGGGTCAGGGGCCACAGCAACGTAAAGAACACCACAAACATATTGACGGTCCCATCAAAATGCACATTTTAAGAAAAGGTATGTGTGTGTTAAAATTAGTAACATGAAAAGAAGGAACATATGGATATTACCAGGCTACAGAGTTCAGTGCGTTAATAGGCATAAAGGCTCTTGTTATCCCAAGAACACAGGAACATTCACACTCACACTCACGCCCACAAATGGCCAAGTTCTCTAACCCCACTAATAGCAGACATCTCCCTGCCCCCACACTGACTTTAACAAAAGAAACTAAGGCAAGAGTTCAGCCACCAGGGAGGGTCCCAGCTATGTTGCAGGAAGGGGATGAGAATGGAGTAGGCCCGTAATTTCACTCAGAACCAAAATGACCATCTAACAGAGGACACAGTGGCAAGGGACCCACAAATCAGATAGCAGATGGAGTTTCTGTCTGCAGCTTAGGATGGCATCAGGAACTTGCCCGGGCTTGGAAGATCATACCTGCACCAGAGCTAGGTTGACTAAAGGAGACCTCATCGCGTAAGAGGAGGCCAACAACTCCTCCGATCGAGTAAATGCCCTCGAAACAACAGAGTGGCAGCCTCACTGATGCTTGCTAGAAGGCTACGAAGGGGCCTGGCTTAAGTGTCAGTGCTGTTTCGTTGCTTCAAGCCCACCACGGTAAAGAAAGTCAGTCTGTGACATCATCGACGCCTAGACTATTTCAAACAAGGAGGTCATGGTGGCCTCCTTGAGGTCTCTGAGGATTCCAGGTAAGAATGCTGTTTTTACGGCCTCAAAAATTACCTATGTAAGCTGGACAGAATGCCCACGATGTAGTCCCATTCCCTGCTGCTTCTCCTCCGGGCCCAGTCTGACTCTATTCCAAGGCAGAGAGAGAAAACTCCATCCTCCTATTTCAGCAGCAAAGGAGAAGTGAGTTGGCTGGGAAAGGCCTGACACAGAAGCTCCAGAACTAAAACAAAATGAAACTGGAAATGATACTTGAAATGCAGCTGAAGCCAGATCTGGTCAAAGTACAGAAGGCCATGGATGTCAGAAGAATTGGGTCTCACCATCCATTCCCCTGGCAGAGGCACTAGAAGTTTCACATAAGGACTCACGTGTCAGTTCTGATGAAAATGCCCGGTACCTACAAATTGTCACAACAGACTGGACCCCACCAACCTAATGAAGGTTGATTTACATGGACGTTAGACAAGTCATTAAAAAAATAATAATAAGGATAATAATTAGAGAAAAAAAAACAAGTGGGGAAAGTCCTTAAAAAGGTGGCTCAGTTCTGCATTACATGTGACCCTGGCCCCTGGAAAGAGGGCTTAATGTGCTTTCTTCAGGTGGCCTCCAGGACGGTGGCCTCTACGGCCAGGGCTTCCATGGGCTCCTCCTCGTAGTCTGACATGTAAGACTCCAGGCTCTGTTTGGCCAGCAATTCCCGCCGGGCCTGCAGCCGCTCACACCGGGGACAGCTTCCAGACTTGAAACAAGCTTTATGGTAACACGCTTTACACTCTATTCAGGTTGGGAAGAGAACAGAGAACAATCTGCATTATCTCAAGCTGGAAGTAAGTCACTGCCACAGCCCCTGCTCGCCACCAAGGCTTGGTGAGCCCGGGCTGAAAATAGGGAGTTGCTGAGTCAAACTCAACTCCTGTTAACAGGGAAGGCTAAGGGAAATAAATTAGCGTTGGCTTCAGTCTTGTTTGCCCACTCCACACTTGGCACCAGTTCTTACCTTCACAGGTCCGGCACTTATGCAGCTCAAAAGGAAAGATGATGTCATCCTCATTCTGACAGAACTCACAGATGAAGCCCTTGGCTTGGCAGAGCTGGGGAGGAAAGGGACAGGCAGCAGAATCAGGGGCAGCATACCAGGAACCAGCACCAGGGGATGAACACAAGTGAGGAAAGGAGCAAAATATAAATAAGACTTGAGTGGGCTTTCAGGGGTTCTCACGCCTTCTGGGAAGAGAGCCAGCTGGACTTGGGAGCATGAGAGCCAAACTGAGGCCAGGACTGGGCAGTGTGAGACAGAGCTTTAAGGGGGGTACAAGAGGGTTTGAGAAACTCCAACCACAAGAATGGTTTGCGATGCAGAGATGAAAAGGAAGGAATGGTGCCACGAAGGGCTTCCTAAAGTCAAAATTCCAGTGTGGGTGATGCTTCTATTTTGAAATAGGAACCACAGCCAATTAAGATAAAATGTGAAGACAAGGGTATTTCTCCAAAATAACACCCGGCCTTGAATGAGGTTAGAGCGAAGCCTTTCTGATCTCTACATATGCCCTGTTTTAAGCTCTAATTCTGGGATTGTCACAGGAACACAAACTGGGCATATTCTAAGATGCAAAATTCTAAAAATGGAACTTCTGAATTTCTGGCACATTGGGTTTATCAAGGACGATAATCACTTGCATCTATAGAACGAAGCTTACAAAATGCTTTCACATAAATTATTTCATCGATTCACAAAAATCCTGAGAGGAAAGGATAAGAAATTATCTTCGTTTTAGAGATAAGAAAATTGAGACTTACTGCAGAGAGGGCAAAGTATTTCCTTTGGTCACACAATTGAAAACAGTAAAGCAGAGGCCCTCCCCAGATTCTAACTCAGGGTTCTTCTCGCACAGCAGGACAATTCTATACTGAAGGTCTGCTCAGTCCTGCCCGTTACCCGGAGCTATGCCAGCACCACATCCTCTTCAAATTCCAGGTTCTTCACACCTGAATGATTTCGCCGTTCAGCAACCCAGGGAAGAGCAATCCTGCCCGGTCTGTGTCACAGTGCTGACAGACCATGTCAACTTCCTGGAACTGCACAGCAAGAACCCGGGTCCACCCCACTCTCCATATCCCTGAGCCCAGTCCCATGCTAAAGGGAGATCGTCTCACCATGCATCGCTCTACGTGGGTAGCCCCTGCCCTGGTGAGCTCAGCAAGCCGGGGCCCCAACTCCCCCTTCCTGGTTGCAGTCAAGTCATTCAGGGAGTACAGGTGGAGATCCTCGGTCAGGTGGCCTGGAACTGTGTCAAAGGAATCCAGAAGTCTACAGGAAGTGAGGGGAAGTAAGCAGGTGCAGAAAATGAACATTTTACGTGGCACATCAAAACAGAAGCATCTCTATCCGGAAGCAGGACAGGGAAGAGAAGGGTCCCAGGCAGAGGCAATGAGGGTGGGCAACACTCAGCCAGCCTAGGTGGTCCAGACCACCCCAGACCCTCCACACTACTAGGTGCCTGGAGAGGAGAAGTGACTTTTATGCCCTTCTGCACAGTGATTCATGTCAGCTTGCAAAGAGTGGGAGGTCTGCCCTGGGTAGAATAACCAGAGATTGGGTACTGCTCTGTAACTGTGTTACTGCTGCAGGCTTTTCGTTTACCATTTCTGGAGTTTTCTGCAAATCTCTCTACTTTCCCTCTTCACATAATAAGGGACAACTGCTGGGGCATGTCTCTTTCAGAGACATAACCCAGCAAGAGGCCTCTGGCCTCCACACAAGACTTACTCTTTGGCCAGTCGGCATGTCTTGAACATGTTCTTCATGTGATACAGCTGGATCCGCAGCAGCTGAAGAGGAAGACGTTGTGATGGTTGAGTGGGGGGTAGTAAGAGCAGGTATGAAGAGGAGAGAAAAAACCATTAGAATGACCAGTACCCTTATACCGTGGGGGTCCAGAAGCTTTGCATGCAGCAGCCAGAGCCAAACTGTTCTCTACATCCATAACTCAACAACTTGCTTTAAAATGACCTCCCGTCAAGAAGGGCCCCTCTGCTAGGCTGGGCTCCCCAATCACATACACAGCTGAGCGCCACTGAGAAATCCAGCATTTGAATCTCTCCCCGCCCCCACCCCCATACGCCCTTTTCCCTGCAGCATACGTTCAGTGCAGGGAGAACTCCTGGTTTTGTCACTGAGTGCCATCTACGGCTTCAGAGCTGCCGTTGTCATGTCTGAGGCTCTAACTAGACAGACAGGTGGGAAAGGGCAGGAGCCTGAGAAAGTACGCAGAGGAGGCACAAGTGAGGAGACTGTGAGAGCTCTGACATGATGACAGAGAGGACTGTGGTGATGCTGGCAACGCCTGTATGAACAGAGGCAGGGGATGAGGGATGAGGAGGGGAATCTGGGATGTGGCCTTTCAAGGCTCTTACCCGGACTTGATTGAGCAGCTTGACCTTCCTATAGAGGGCACTGTTGATGTCCTGCACATTGAAGAGAGGATCGTTCCAGATCTTAATAAGCAGGTCCTTGGAGAAATTGCTGACATAGTACTTGCTGAAGTCCCACTTGCGCAGAACCCGGCTGGGGATGACCATCTGGGCATTTTCATGGCAGCACTGACAGAAGTACTTGCCCAAGTACTCACAGTACCGCAGCCGCTTAATATAATCTGGAAAACCAGAAAGTCATAGGTCAGATGTGGCTTTCCCATCTATAAGCCAGTGAGGCAGCCCTCTGGTTCCTTTTCAAAGAGCAGGAAGAGATGGCCACCCAGCTCCTTCCACCTCTGTATGAGCTCCCAAAGCTAGCAGAAACCCATGGAGTGGGGTCTGTGGTTTCTGTGTCCCCCTCCGAAGGCCACTGAGGAAGCAAACTTTGCCAGAGATGGTGAGATCCGACTTCCAAGAACCTGGCTTCTTCATTACACAATACTGGTAACGTGCCCCCAGAAATAACTTCCCTCTGATTGCCAGTGATCTTGCCTAGCCCTACCTTCCAGGTCCAGGCCCCTTCTTTCCCCTTCCCAGTTCTGCTCTGTCACCTCCTCTCACTACCTCTCTGACCAGCCCCTCTCCCGAGTGTGTGAGACGGTTCAGCCGCTGGAGGCAGCATGGGGGTGGGAGAAGATGCTCACCAGGGTCAGTCCGAATGCCACACCCAGCACAGCGGTAATTCTGCTTGGCCACCGCGATCTTCCTCCTGAGGCGGGGGGAAGGAGGGGGTTTTGGCAGATACCAGCTACATGAGGCCTCTGCCATGTAAGGACAAGGAGGCAAACATAGGGTTCCTGTTCAGTATAGGAAGGGGGGGTAGCTCACCTATTGCGTTTTAGGAGTTGGACCAAACGAACCCATTGGGAGAACCAATTCAAACTGAGGATTACTAGATTAAAATTTAGATCTAGGCAGGGACAGCCCCCAGTAATGAACCATACTCTCTGTACAAATGTAAGAGATGAGAAATAGGACAGAGGAAAGAACAAGAGGAAAGAAAAGCAACCATCCATCTTAAGAGAGGAAAAACCAGAAAGCTCACAAACTACTGGGAGGAAGGCAATAATTGGGAAGGCCAGTGATAAAAGACCTCATTTCTGGTTAGCTCTGGGAAGCAATAGGAGGAGCAGGAGTTAAGACTTGTGACCAGACGGGTGATCCCCTCTCTCTGCCATTAAGTGAACAGAATTGTGTGGGAGCTACAGGTGGAGGCAGAGACAAGAAGGTGAGGAGACAGCCCCGACAACCCAGAGGATGTATCCGTTTCCCAAAGGACACAAACACTGCCTACTCACGTTGGGGCTGGATGAACATTAAAAATGATCTGAGGCCGGGGTGGGGCCCACTCCAAGTTGCCACGAACACGAATCCGCAGCTTGTAGATGTCAGCGTGCTGCCCGTCATCTGGTGAGATGGGCAGTGAGTCAGGGATGGGCAGGAGCTGCAGGAGAAAAGCACAGGGGGATCTAACACAGATAGTCTGGGGGAACACATACTTGACCCTTTGACCATCACAGAAACACAGTTAATGAAAGACGTTTCAAGAACACCTCAGGTAAAAGCTTTGAGGAAACCTGGCCCTCAAAACAAACCACTAAGGCACCAGGCTACTAGAAGTGAGGGCCTTGTGTTCCAAGAAGCAAAAGGAACAGAAACAGCATTTCAGTGTGGTGGCAACCATTGCTGATGCTGTCCCTGAACCCACCCCAGGGCCCTTATTATGCTACATGCAGCTGTAGAGCAAAGAAGAATATGAACAGTTCACTTTTTCACAGTGTCTCAAAGGTGGTCACAATACAGGACTTCCACCTCTGGGTCTAGTAAGCAGTCATGTGGAATAAGGAGAATGACGGAGTCATTATCTCCTGTTTTGACCATTGCTAGGGAAAACCCAGGCAAGCATGTATTCATGCATTCATTCATTCATTTAACACATTTGTAACGAATGGCTTCTATGTGTAAGGAAGGAAACATATACACTCATTCTAGATGGGGGACATGTGACAAAGGAGAACAGCATCAGAAAGGCTCACAGCCTCCTGGGGCTGGACAACAGGTGGAGAAAAAGTGCTGAAGAGGGGTGCCTGGGTGGCTCAGTCAGTTAAGCATCTGCCTTCGGCTCAGGTCATAATCCCAGGGTCCTGGGATCGAGTCTCACATCAGGCTCCCTGCTCAGCAGGGAGTCTGCTTCTCCCTCTCCCTCTGCCTGCCACTCCCCCTGTTTGTTCTCTCTCTCTCTCTCTCTCTCTCTCTCTCTCGGTCAAATAAATAAAATCTTAAAAAAAAAAAAAAAGAAAAGAAAAAAGCTGACGAAATCTACCTTCTGAGGGGCATCATGCTCTGGAACCAGCCATTCTAGCTCTGAGGCAGCTGGGAGCTGCATGCCTTCGAACTGCTTCAGGAGTCCCATGGCCACTGCCTCCGCAGATGTGGAGTGAAGGAAGCAGTGAGAGCTGGAAAGGAGATTCAAGGAAGGCTGAGCGCAGAGAAAAGACAGGAAGATGGGAGCCTTCCCTCCAGGATCTGATATTATACCCTGTGACTTCTGGGCTGAGAACACTCGCAGCACCCCTGGTCAGCTTGGCTTCTTTCCTCATCATCTTCAGACACACGCAGGGAGGAAAATATATTGATCTTATGGTCTGAAGACTTGGGCTCAAATCCCACTTAATAGCATTACATGGCACTGCTAGTTAGGGATTCTGTATCACTTCCCTTCTCTGAGCTTCAGTTTCTTTAACTGCAAAATGGGGGTTATAATAGCTGTTTACAAAATAAATGGAGTAAAACTGTCTTGTGAACAATAAAGGACTATTTGCTGCTCCCAAACGAGCTATTATTTCCCCTAGTTGGATCTACGATGTGAAATCGGTTCAATTAGATTTCATAATCAGAAATCATGATCACTGTTCTCTCTTTTGGGACCTGATCTTCTGGGGGCCTCTGGTATCAGAGTCAGCAGAGAAGGAACAATCCATACTGTGAGCTTTGCCTCCACCAGAGCCCACCCCGTTTAAACCAACGATTCCGGGGTCTTGCCACCATCAGGCAGGCCCATCACTTTAACTTTAACCTTGTCTCTTTGTGAATGTGGATGTTTCATCTATGGCCTTTCCCATCCAAATGCCAAGAACTAGGTTTGTTTCTCCACATACCCAAGGTTTTATTGAAAAAAAAAAAAAAAGTACTTACAAGGACTGGGAGGAAGTGAAGGATTTGCTGTTTGAGGCTGTGCTCCTTCTGATATCAGCATCTAAATGGAAACCAGAGATAAGGGGAGCAGGAAAGGGGAAGGGAGGAGGTGAGGGATAATAATGGAAACCATTCCAAGCTTTTGCCAGCTCAGCACTCAGGGTAGCAACTACAAGTTACATTCTATGCAGGATAAGGAGCAGAGACCAGCTGAAGCTCTACACATAATTTATAGTTTGGCTCTGTTCAAGCCACAATGAGGCTGAATTAGTGACATTATACACAGCACGGAGATGGTCAAAATGGCTACAAATCCACGTGGGAACACAAACTCAGATTTGGTGCAAAAAGTGAATGAGAAAAGGAAGCATCCTAAGGCACACAGGGACACACCCTCTATCAAGCAGAAACACAAAAAAATTACTCCAATCTCTCCCTCGTTCTCGAAATCTCAAGCCCTCTTAAATGATAAACTCTCAGAGGTAAGAACTCTTGTCTAGTTGGTTTTTTGTATTAAAATCAGACTTAACACAGAACTTGGATCACGGAGGTAACTCATTAAAATGTTATGTGGAACTGGAGCTTTGCTTCTAACACCTGACTACTATTGCTATTGCTTCTGAATGTGAAAAGTCTTCTATATCCTTATAAAAGCTTCATGGAAAGATTTCCTGTCTGTCTGGTGGAACGGGAAAGAACAGAACTTTTCTATGACTTGGCAGCTCCCTGGAGATGCCTGGTAAGCAACAAATGTTCATGGAGATACTCAACATGATCTTTTCTATAGAATTCTCACGCATAATTACAGGAAACTATGGCAGACTTTCCAAAGCCTATTTCTGCTAAAGGATTTTGAAGAGGATTTCTGATAATGATATGCCAGAACCTTCAAAGACCTGATCTTCCCAAATATGTTTGATGGGGAAAATGTGAAATAGAGCACTCATGTTCAAGAAAGGCAGACAGAGTGTATTCAAGTCATGAAAACAAGGCTGTTGTGATAAGTCTCATCCCTCATTTCCTTTGATGCCCACTGAAAAGACATTCCTTTCCTAATTAAAGCTACACAATGATCAATCTACTGCATCTGAGCCCCTCAACAGAGCACTAAAGCTTACATGACATCACTTGGCAATTGGCCATAAGTAGCTCAATTGTTCTTCACGCTTCCTCTGTATATTTTTGTATGTGCCACTAGATCATAAAATCTCCTTGTGAGGAAATGAGAGCATATCTAATTCTTCTGCTTGGCCCAAAATACTTAATACAGGGCTCTGTGTATTCAAATAATATTCCTAACAAATCAATGTTTTCAAAGCTATATACGCAAGAGAACAGAATAGATACCTGTCAATGAATTTTCATATGCTCTCTAAGCACAGAAAAATTTAAGACAGCAACAAAATTTTTGCCTAGTAAATAGCAAATTCTATTTTATTTAACAAAAGTTCGCATATATCACATTTTCTGTCTGAATTTGTACCACCAAAATCCAGATCTTAATACATTGTTGCCTATTCCATTCTAAATAGTACCAGTGAAGAAAAAAAAATTCTAGGCAATAGTAGACCTTCACAGACCATTTGGTTTGTAGCATTTATATGAATAACACTTATACTGCCTTGGATTTGTATATAAGTCTTGTCTTGCCCTTATAACCCTGTTTTGTACATAATAGGTTTTCAGAAAATATTTCCTAAATAAACGATTAACTGGCTAAAAGCAAAAAGCAAATACCAGCCTGTTGGGAGTGATAGAAAAAAAATGAGAAAATCTTAGACAGATATCCTTGAATAAAGAGCTAACCAATGTTGCTACTGTAGGCCCAGGCTATTAAAGAAAATCCTGCACATCAGAGAGAAGTGGTGATAATTCATGGTTGCTAAGGAAACCGTTGTCTTCAAAAAACTATTTAGTAGTTCTTCAACCTCATGGAGAAGTCATTTTCTCTTTGAGAGAAAAAAAAAAAATCATTCTCTGCTCTTTGGAAAACATAGTCCAGTCATATTTACCATGTTTTCTCTTTTTTTACCAGAGGTGCGATGACTTCCTTGCTAATTGTGAATACTTCCAAGAGTGTGGAGGACCACACAGTTTTGGCTGTGACGATCTCACCCTGGGAGCAGAGAGGGAAAAGCAGCACCTGATATCGAAAGAGACATGCCACCTGACACTGGCCAAGTACAGTGAAGGCCCTGTGGGTACTGGGCCTCTTCTGCATTCTGCTGACTCTCCGGTCAGTTCAAGCATATAATTAAGTTAATGTGGTTGGAATACTAGTTGAGAATCTGGATAAAAGTAGACCAGGGTCTAAGACAAAAATTAGAGTAAAGAGAGAGGAGGAGGCCATTCAGTTGGATGGAAGTTAACATCATTGTGAAACTTTTAATTGATTCTTTGGCAAGTTATTTTTTCCTAAGAGAACTGATTTCAAATGCTTCTGATGCTTTAGATGAGGCTATCACTACTGACTGAAAATAATTCAAAAATAAAACAAAACAAAACAAAAATTTAAAAAATGACATGCTGTAAGAAGAATTTTTGCATGTCCAGGCACTGGTATTGGGATGATCAGGGAAGAACTGGTTAAGATCTCGGTACCATAGCAAAATCTGCAAATTTAAACAAAGTGAGGCACAGGAAGAGAGTCGACTTCAGAATTTACTGACCAGTTTGACACTGGGTTTCCTTCCTGCTTTCCTTCTAGCAGATAAGGTGATACCCAACACATTTGGAGATCTAACTCCAGTGAATTTTCTGTAACTGCTGACTAGAGAGGAAACATTTTTAAATGGAGAATCACAATTACTCTGCTTTTTAAAAAAGAAAAAAAATTATATAAAAGGGCAGTGTGGGGAGAATCAACTGATTACCTTGAACTGGACATAATTTAAACCCTTGTCAGAAAACACAGTTTATGAACTTCTGTCTTTATGTATTATCCCAGTTATCAATTTATTGCCTTTCAGCTCCAAACCTGCCCTTCTTTTTGTCTGCTCTATGATGATGGAGCCGGACTCATAAACAGTGGCCCTCTGCCAGACGGCACCATGTTAAGCTTTGTCAGTAGCGGGCACTGCAGGGACACTGGAGGAGGAAAGGGTTTCTCTTGCCGAGTCTGGAGTGCTCCTCTAGGCAGACTCCAGTATGTAGGGCATGTGACTTTCCCCTGAGGAAGCACACCTCCATGAAGGTGGCCTTTCAGCAGAGTACCACTAGCGGTACTTCTCATAAACAGCCTGCCCTGGCTCCTCCTGGGAAAGCTTCAGGCAAGTGCCACAGGCCTGGCACCTCCCAGGAACCACCTCCACCAGCAGCTCTTGTGTTCTGAGCATCTCAGCCCCTCCCTAGCGGCAGCCCCCGCCGGCGCCCCACAGAAGGGTTTCCTGACGCTGTCGGCATGGTTCCGCTCGTGGGCAGCATCCCCAGGCACTCTCTTAGGGCAGCTCTGCAGCCTTAGAGAACGTATCCAGCTCTAGTGAGCCAGGAGGTCTGGATCTCAGCCTTGGAGATGTGGCTATCTCCTACATTTGTTCCTTCCTGGGTGCTCTACCTCAGCCCCAGGGATGCTGACTGCTACCTATATCTGCTATTCCTGTATTCTTTAGAGTTCTTTTTACTCCTTATGAGCCAGTCTCCCATTACTTCAGTCCCCCATGACAGTTAATAATTCTTTATTTAAAATTTTCCCCATTCAAATTACTCTGTGGTTTCTGTTTCCTGATTGGACCACGACTAGACACATGTATGTAGAAGACTGAAATTCTAGAAGAATCACTAAAGGAAGATAAAGAACAATTGATAAAGCTGTGATAAAAGGGAAAGGAAGGGGGGAGAACAACAAAACCCTAAAGCTAAAGAAGCTGAAAAGACAATCTGCAATTGGGAGCTTACGAATGATCTCACACCAGTTTGGCAGATACCATCAGAAGGAACTGATGAAATAAAAGAAGCCAGACACAAAAGATCACATGTTGTATGATCCATTTATATGAAATGTCCAGAAAAGGCAAATCTATAGAGGCCAAAAGCAGGTTAGCAGTGGACTGGGACTCAAGGTGGGAACAGAAATCAACTGTAAATGGGCACAAGTAATCTTACTGGGATGATAAAAATGTTCTAAAACTAGATTATGGTGACAGTTGCACAACTTGGCAAATTTACTAAAAATTATTGAAAGGAGTAGGTGTTGATGAATACAAAGCTTTCTATGAATAAGCTTTCTGTGATCACAAGGTTTATATCTACTACTTTATTGCTAGGAGGAAGTAATTTTTAAATCCTTTTCCTTCAGAAACACTTCTGTTCCATATGGTCTACTCAATAAATCAGGATCTAAGAAATGTGACTACATTAAGAGGAGTATTATACTATGCAGAGTATTCATCATAGATGATGTTTAAACCCTTAAATTTTTCGAAGGGTGTTATAGATTTTAATGACCTTCCTCTGATAGTATTCTCAGAGGTTCTTCAAGAGCATAAATCACTTAAGATGATCAAAAAGACACACATCTGTAAACCTCTGGATATAATCAGAAGACCGCTAATGAGAAGTATAATGACACTCTTTAGAAAGAATTTTGTACCATTAATAAACCAGAAACAGAAAGCAATAAAGAAGTCTAGAGTAAAGAAAGATGAAATGTAAATTATACTTTCATAAATAAGAATCTATATGTAGAAAGAAGGTAAAACAAGCCACTACTTTTCTATAAAGATTTTATTTATTTGAGACAGAGAGAATGAGATAGAGAGAGCACGAGAGGGAGGAGGGTCAGAGGGAGAAGCAGACTCCCTGCCAAGCAGGGAGCCCGATGCGGGACTCGATCCCGGGACTCCAGGATCATGACCTGAGCCGAAGGCAGTCGCTTAACCGACTGAGCCACCCAGGCGCCCCAACAAGCCACTACTTTTGATAGAACTTGTTCTGATTGCTTTCCCTCTAACTCCCAAAACGTGCTAGGATTGTGGGTCACAAGAAAAAGCAGTTTTTTAGTTGAAAAATATTTCATATACATATATAAAATGTATAAATGTATAAAAATGTATAAAAAAATTTAAAGCTCCCAAAATGGGGGAAGAAAAGATGCCAGGAAGACCAAATAAAAGTCTGCCTTATGGTTAAGGCAAACTGAATATGCTCTGACAGACAAATGGCTGGCAGTCAATAAATGTACCCGCAAAAGGATTGTGGTTGTAAACACATAAGAAACCAGTTAAAAATGATAGGATAATTACATCTCAAGCAAGGGAAGATGATGTTAGAAAGAATTACAACTGTTCGGGAATAGAGAAAAAGGAACCTAAATACTTTTATTTCTTCAAATCTTTAGCTAATCTTACATAAGTATTTCAAATTCTAGGGGCTGATACCATTAACGGGTTAAAATGAACTGTTTAATAAAAAGTCCTGAGTTTTGCTGGTGTGTGTTTTAAAGCCACTTTGAGTAGAAAATTGCTACTTTCAGTTAACCCCATCTACAGAAAGCCTACTGGTTTGAATCATAAAGCAATTACTAAGGCCAAACAGTTGCAGCAGTAAATCCTAATGGCATACAAAATACCAAGAAGAGATAGCTTTCTGCAAACTGACCCTGCAAATTCAAAACTCTAAAGACACACTATGCTTTCACACCATTCTATCTGACTTCTGCGGTCTGAACGTGTAGCAGTAGCTTAGCGATTGGTTTGAACTAAAATCTCTTCACCTGACCATTGCTTTCTAAACTGTCTACTACCTCCATCAGCCACAATGACCACTCAGTCTATAAATATCACTGGAGGGAAGGGTCAACAAGGACAATCTCAGTGAAGAGGATTGTTGGGGGTCATATGAAGAAGAAAATGAGTATCTGAAATGTTCTTTGCTGGCTCAAGTCTGGTTTTTCCCAACTAGTTCTCTAAACGTTATACACAGGTGTCACAAGATACAGAATGTACAAAAGCTGATGCAAACATTCACACACATGCATGTATGAGCACACTCACACTTCCAACACAGGCTACCTGAAAACATCGAGGCCATTGACACTGAGAGTCCGTTCTTTGACATGTGAGTCAGGTTAGATCCTTCGCTACCATCTGTGATAATGATTATAAAAGGGGCCCTTTAGTATTCAGATAGGAAGTAAATTGATGAGAATGACAGTTCTATACCATATGTTCCTGGAATCAGGACTTGACTTTGCTCCAAAAGATGAACCGCTTTTAGGACGTTACATCCATAGGTAGGTACTCAATATGTCTTGGGACATAGTTATTGCTGCTTCCCCAAACCAGCCTGGCCTTAAAGATCTCAAAGGTAGTGGTTCTCCACGAGGGGAGATTTTGCACCCTTGTAGATATTTGGGTAAGAGGCTGAGGATGAAGCTAAACATTCTACAATGCATTGGACAGTCTGTTACAACAAAGAATTACCTGGCCTAGAGGTTGAGAAACCCTCCCCCTAAGGTCTTTTCCTTTAAGGATTTCCATCCTGAGCTGACTAGAGTTAGTTGACTTAAACAGCTCCTCTGGGGCCACAAATGCAACAACAGTTTCCCCTAGGAATGCATTTCATGCCACCGCCAGGCAGGCTATTTCAGATTTGGCTCCTTCCAGACTGAACAGCCTCCCCTGGCTCCTTGCTTTGCTGCAAGGAACACTTAGTAGTCAAGTGGACTGCTCTACACACAATGAAGCAGTGTTCTGAATTTACCTTAATATTACCCTCATGAAGTTCTGTTGATCCGAGAGATAGGGCAGAACCCTTTTATTTTCTTCTAATTTGAAGATCAAGTCAATCAGATTGTGGTATAATAAACGATAGTTGGTCTGTGCCTAGTTTTGGGCATAGAGCTCCTAAAACCTTTGTAGTTTCCAGAGTGATAGGACTGTCTTTTGTTATTCATAAAGAGTCCCTTTCTGTTATATCTGAGTCACCTAATGAGGTGATGCTTAGGGAGCATCCAGATAACTTCAGGATGGGGCTGGTTGCCAGAAGAAAAACCAACCACCAGATTAGAGGATTAGAATTTTTAGCCCCTCCCCCTATCACCCAAAAAGGGAGAGGGACTGCAGATTAAGTTCCATCACCAATGGCCAATGATTTAAGCACTCATGCCTACCTATGAAATGAAACCTTGATAAAACACTTATAATGGTGAGGTTTGGAGAGCTACCTGGTTGGTGAACATACTAACATACTGGCAGGATAGCCCACCCTGAGTGCATGGACACAGAGGTTCCTGGGCTGAGGAAACTTTGGGACCTTACCCTAAGTACCTCTTCATGTGACTGTTCATTTGTATCCTTTACAGTAAACGGTAATCTTAAGTGTAGTGTTTTCCTGAGTTCTGTAAGTCATTTTAGCAAATTATGGAATCTGAGTTGGGGGGGGGTCATGGGAATCCCCTGGATTTGTAGTTGGTTGGGGAGAAGAGCAGGTAAGCTGGTGACCCCATTTGTGGTTGACATCTCCAATGGGAGCATCCTGTGGTACTGAGCCCTTAACCTGTGGGGTCTATGCTAACTCCAGGAGTTAATGTCAGAATTGAATTGTCAAAATACGCAGTTGGTGTCAGAGAACTGGAGAAATGTTGTTGGAAAACCACATACAAACAAACCAAAAAAATGGGGTTTTAAGTGGCAATTATTGCCGTGAATAGAAATCAGATATATTAAAGAGAACAAAGAAGGAAGATGTCCTAGAGACCTGGAAAAATATGTGTAAAAATTGTATTTCTGAATGGGGAAGAAATCCAGCTAGCACCAGGTGTCGATTACTATTGGAGGTCTGTGCAGGTGAAAAGTGAATTACATCAGTTCTCTAGATTGATATAAACAGATCTGTAAGAAAAGATCTATTCATCATCATCTTACAATGGAGAATTACAAATACAATTCACCTCTATAAGAAAATAACTTGTGGGGGAAAGCTTATGTCCCAGAACTGCTTTTTGGTTTGTTTGCTGCACTAATGGGGACTTGAAGAAATCTACGATTTGCAGGAATGGATTAATCCATTAATCATGGGTTAACCTGATTTAACACAACTGCCTTCCCAGATTAGAGCCCCTCCCCTTCTCTGTGCATACGCTTACAACAACAACAACGACAACAAGGGTCTGTGATTCTGCTAAGCAAGTGAACACGGATAGAACAGAATAAAGCTCTACTTTGTAAACTTCATTTTTTTTTTCCTGTTTTGCTTTTCCCCCCAAATGACTCTTTTTGTCCTTTTCTCTTAGGATTATAACAAAGCTCCTTTGAAACAATTTTGATTGTGTTATGGAACACAAGAGAATAGGATTCTAATTTCAAGCAGGTATGGGCCAGTCCTAGGCTGTGAGCAGGAGGAATTAGAGTGAAATCTAAGAGAAAGGTGCAACTGAGACCCATCCACGTGACTTCAGCAGCCATACCACTCTGAAGCACTTCCTTTCAGTGTTCTTTTCTGCTTAAATTTTACTAAAGGGGTTTTGTTTTTAGCAAGAGAGGCCGTCTCTTACAATTACTGACAACGTTCCAAAATGGACCATATTGAAGATTCTCTATACTTAGGGAAAGCTTCTCAGTCTATGACTTCAAACGGAAAGAAACAGGTAATGAAAGTGGCCTGAAATAGTGTCGCTCCTTACCTTGGATTTCAAATTCATCAACCTCGTCAGCAGAGCCAGAGTCAGAGAACTGTGTTGAATCACGTGAACTAAACTGGGAGCTGCTAGAAGTGACCCGAAAACCTGCTATGTTTAAAAAAAAAAAAAAAAAGAAAAAAAGAAAGGTAATAAGCAGGACAGAAAGAGGTCACCTACTCCTAGGGTCACAATGAAAGGGACCTAGTAGGACTTCAACAGCAAAGTAAACAGAACCTTGGCTTGGAGTGATGCTGGGGGAAATGGAAACTAGCTCTTCTTGCCGGTTGTTCCCCATTTTATTCACGAAATTTTGAAAGTTTCACATAAACAGAAGGTACTACTATCTGGGAAGTGACGCTGGAACCAGCAGTCTTAGTTCTCATGCCAGAAACCTATTTTTTGGAAGCTATTTCTGAGGGAGGAAATGGATGAACCCTAGGACTCTGGGTCTGGTAGGAAAAAAATTGGAACATAAAAAAATCTTTCTGACAACGGAGGAGCCCTTGGCTTCATCTCAAAGTGAGACAAAAAAGGAGGTACCCGAGGCACCAAGTCTTCTCCCGAAGCCCTGCAGAAGCGGAACTAAGGTGTTCGCAGCCCCACTCACTTCCGTGCTCAGCCTCCTGGTACCCAGGGAGCAGGTTCTTGGTGCGGATCTGCTGGCGACGCAGGCGGATCTTCTGCTTCAGTTCCTGGATCTCTCTATCGCTGTCTTCCTCCTCTTCTTCCTCCTCTTCTAGGCACTGGCTCATCATGTTGCACTTCATGAGCTCAATGGCAGCAATCAAGGACTCTGAGATGCTGAAGTGGGCGTTCTCCTGGGGGAAGGAGGGTACCAAAGAAGTTGACTCGCGAGGGGCTAGATGTGTTGAACCCCTCACTGATTGCCGGAAAGTAGAGCTACTAAGACATGCACTGCTTTCATTCAAAACACTCAGGGAAACGAACACTTCTGCTCTCAGAAAAGCTGATGGCCAAAAAAACTGTTCTACATCCTCTTTGCTCTCAAACCTGCCATGCCTGGTCTTCCTGTCCCACTTTCTACATAAAACTATGATAGAGAAGAAGTCCAGAATTTAATATCAGGGTCTTACCTGATACCTATAGGGATATACAGATACCCCTGTAGACAAAGCATTAAGGTAAATGTAAGCTCTAAATGCTACAGGGACATTATTTATTACATATCTGAGCCTTAGAACAAAGTATAGAAGTTGATTCTGGAAATAGCTTTTACCTAAGGTTCCAGGGTCAAGAAAACAATAATGATGTGGCTAAAAGGCAATATTTCCGTGCCCAAGGCAGCTTCTAACACAAAACCAGTAATATTTTGGACTCAGTGAGAAGATACTCCCTGAAAAGTTCTCTAGAGACTGAACTTGTTGAGCTTATCTTTACTCTGAACTTACTTTCACCCGTGGTCTTTGCTCATGTTCCTGCTGTGTACCCAAAACCTCTTTAGAACAAATGGCCCCACAGACCCTCAGGCCAGATGTCCCAACTCATGAGCTCTTCAGTAGCTGCTTAGATTCCTCACCTTTTCCAGGTCTGCACAGCTTCCAAAGTCTTGCTCAGACAGGTAGCTGATGAGGGACTGTCCTTCGGATGGTCTTCGGAACATGCCCTCCCCTGAGCACAGGTACTGACCGCCCTCTATGGGAAAACAGAATGTGGATGTGAAAAGCTCTGACTTGGAAAGGAAATCTGTAACAGACAATCTTCTTGAGAAGTCTGATGATTTTACCACTAGAGACACTCCCAAGTTCTCCCAGGTAACAGGTTGGAAAGAAGATGTCTACCTTCTAAAGGAATTTCTCTGAATCTCAGAATCCCTGAGTACTAAGCCTCTTGGTTAAAGAACAGGATAAATGAAGAGAGCCTAGAGACAATCCTTTCACCATCAAAATTTAAAGATGACATACTTGCCCTCCTACCCTACAAAAAAGGAAACAAAAAACCTGTGCTGAGAATCAGACAAGGGAACAAATAGCTTCCTCCTGTGGATGATTTCCATGTGTAGCTTATCTTCTGGTAATTCAGCCTCGACACTCAAAGGCTTCTTTTCAAGGTCCCTCTCACCCACTCAGAGAGCCATTCCATCTGGAGTGACAGACAGTCATGGTGATAACACCCACAGTGTAAGAGAGGGTGGCACCCCTAAGTCAGAAAGGAGCAAAAGAAATGGCGGGACTGTGTGATTTCTAGCATGGGGGCTGTAAATGATGAAAGGAAGGGTGAGACTGCACAGTGTGTACCCTCCATGGAGCCGACGTGAGCCAGACAGCTCAGAGCTTAGCAGGCACAAGGGGAGAGCAGAGGAAGGACACAGCTGCAGCCCTGGCCTTCCTAGTACTCACCATACTCCATGTACAGAGAGCTGGGTGTGCTGACTTCACTGCTTGGGCCAGAGTAGGGCAAGGGGCCTCTCAACTTCGACTTATCATTGCAGGATTCTAGTGTCAGTGACCACCAGGGAGTAAAAACACACATACGAGATGAGCAACACATACATTCCCAACTTTGGAGTTTCCACATTTAACTGCTCCCATTCCCAATGCCCTCCCAAGCAGGAGAGAGGTGGCACACCAACAGGGAACAGTCCAAGAATGCAGGAACACATGGAGGAAAGGAGATGGGGAGTCGGTATAGTCTGAGAGGAAAAGAGAAAACATGACCCAGAATGCAGCAACACAAAGGTGAAAAAGAATCAAATCAAAATGGGCTCATGAATTTAGTTCCTTTTTCTTCCATCTTCTTACCAAATGTTCTAAGAATATTGGCCAATTTCCATCCTCTTGACAAGAACCAATGTAGAAAACAGTCCTCACATGGTAAAACAAAGATAGGCACACTGAAACTTTTCTGATACCATGACACTGGGCTTTTAAACAATCTCAGAATGGTTACACTGAACCTGAAATGAACCTGAAATGTGTCATACCTACATATTTAACCTGCTTCTGAGTTAGGTGAAAAACAAAATAAAATCCAGCAATTTCCTTAAAAGAAGCATCAAGACAGTGCTCGAGAAGCCAAGGACGATGGCCCTATATCCAAAGGGCTCGGCCACAGGGCTCACACTCAGCCTTCCTGGAGATGGAAGGGAGAGGTTTCAAGAGAAGCCTGGCAAAGTAGGAAGTGGCTGGATAGAAGTTTTCAAGGAACAGTGAGAGTTAGGAGTAGAGAAACAGCAGCAGGCAGGGCTCGCAGGAAATGAGAAACTGATAATTCTCCAAAGGAAAACACAAAATTCCCAGTGCTACCGAAGGAAGAGCAGGCAGAAAAGCAGGCGGGTGCCTGGGAAATGAGCAGGATGCTCGAGAGTGGATGACTGAGCGGCATCCAACCCATATCCCCCACACATGGTGCCAGCTTGTCAGCCGCTCCTCTCATTAAAAAAAATGCTACTATGTGGTAAGAGATAACTTTGTGTTTTCCTTGGGTCTCCAAGATTTCTGCTGGTCCTGGCAGTGGGCTCTCCTCCTCACTACCGAACGACAGACAAACCAGCAGTCACCACGATGCCTTGGTAAGAAACTATGACTTGGAGGGGATCTTTGAGGTCCCCAGTCAAATTTAGCGCACAACACAAGCTCCAACACCAGCACCCTCTTCCTTTACAACACTAAAGGCCATCCACCCAGGTTTTGCTTCCTGAGCTAACTACCTCCTGATGCTGCCCATTCAAATGAACAGCTCTACTGCTTAGATTTCCTCGCACTCACTTGAGTCTTCTTACAATTTCTCATCTCCTGAAGAATAACAATGCTCTTCCAAACAGTGGTCCTGTCAACTTCCTCCTCTTTAACCTTCCCTTTTCCAAGCGAACATACTCAGTGGCTTGCCCAGGAGGCCACAGCATTCAGGCCTCCCTCCCCAGTCAGTCGTGCAGACACACTCTACTACTAATACCGCCATGAACCCAGAACCGAACACAACATTTCATTTGAACACCACCATGAAAACCAAAGAAACAGACTTAAGTCACTAGAAAAAGCCTGTGAATGACTGGAATGGGGGTGGGATGGGACTTATAGAGGAAGGAAGTTAGGCGAAAGAAAAAGGAAACGGGACTCTGGGAGAGGCAGAAAACATGCATTCACATCCGAGACCACAGAAAGGGGAAAAAAATACATTCTGGTGTTAATTCAAGGAAAATAAAGTAATCCATAGTAAGTACTCAGTTATTAAAAAAAAAAAAATTCTGCCACTGATTCATCATGATGCCTTAGACAAATAGTGGGCTTCGGTTTCACCTTTGGCCAAAACAGGATTGATAAATCTTGACTCTGCCTCCCAGAAGCTGTTGGGAGACTAAATGAGGCATTTGGAAGTCATGCGCAGAAAACACAGGATGCAAAATATCGGTGCCATTTTAGAGACAGGTCTAAGAATCGCAGCAGGATTAGCCAGCTTAGCCAGACTTGATTTGACACCAGAATGGAAAAGGAGGTTCTGAACTAAGCAAGATGGTCACAGAGAAGGAGGAGGCGGCAGACAGAAAGGACTGGCTCCCAAACCTGCAATGGGATCTTCAACTATAATGGTGATATTCCTGGGGCCTCCTGTACGTGGACAGACAGGTGCAGAGGAGAGTCCAAACAGAGGAAATGAGAATAGAGTGAGAAAAAGAGTGTCCTTTCATCTAGCAGAGGTGGGGACTTAACTCCCAGGAGGGAACCCCAGTGCTGAAGTACTCAACTACTAAACTGAGGTAGCTGACTCATACGAGAAGCTACACACGACCCCCTCTCCCTCAGACCCTTTTGCTTAGGTTTTCTCTGGCTCCCCTTTCCAACGCAGGTTACCGTGGTTTCTGGAATCCATGTGGATTCGAGAATGGGGGCAGGGAAGTTTTCCATGCTCAAAGACCAGTGGCCTGGACTACAGCAGACAGCAGGCCTGCAGCAGATGTGAAGTGAGGAGCTAACCCATGTACTCTTCACATCTAAGAAAGCTTGTGGGAAGACAGGCTTTGATTTGGAGATTTTTTTTTTCCTAGAGAGTTCCAATCAGGCAAACCACATCTTGAGTAGAAAACAGAAAAAAGTTTGTCACTCAGAAGTTTCAGATGAGGGCCTCAGCTCTCACCTTTCTAGAAATTAGAATGAGAAATCAATGGCAGCTCCAGTTGCTGAAGGAAATCACCTTCTTTTCTTTTTTTTTTTTTTTAATGTTTTATATTTTATTTCTGGGGCTTTCCTACCCAGAACTGGCTTTGAGTGCAGAGATCCATGTTATACTTGCTGTTATGGAGGTTCTCCTACAAACGAAACCCAACCAAAGCCTGCCAGACACTAACAACCCATGACAGAAGATGGCAGGGAGATGGCAAAAGCAATGAGCCCCACCTCTCCCATGCCGAGGATGCCCTCTACTAGCAGCTGGGGTTTGTGTGAGGAAGGGCTCAGTGGCCAGGGCCTCCTTACCGGGCTGCCTGGCAACCTGAAGTAGTGATGCAGCAGTCAGTCCCCCCTACTGGTTTCCTAGGTCACATCATCCCACACTCATATATCCTAGTTTTAATGAGGAAACCCCAATATCACTTTGCCTCTCTCATACTGGTATTACACCTGACCACACTTGTCAGGAATCACAGAAAGGGGAGGAATTCAATGGGGTTATTTTCAAAGCTCATGAGTATTTCCCCTCTGTCTGAGAGAAACATTAAAAACTCAAACTGTGACTAGTCACACTATCCTCTGATGATAAGGAACTGCTGAAAGAATCCAAGAAAACATTTACTATTTGGCAATGTATAAAGGAACAAACATAAATACTCTCAGAGAGATTTCTTGGGTATTCATATTACACTGTAAGCTTCCCTCTTTCTTCATAAGCAGGATACCCCGTCAGGTCATCAGAAAAGTAACTTGCTAAGCTGGGGCTGGTGACTGTCATTACCTGGGGCTCCTCTGGAGGCAATGTTGGTATCTGAATGGGAGCGAGTATGGCTCTTCTTTGTTCCACCGGTGGCAGTGAGGGTCTGCCCCTCCGAGAAGCTGGACCTGCGAAGGCCGCTGGACAGCTGGCCCTGCCCGCCTCCGTCCTGCTCGCCTCGGGGAGAAGCAGCAGAAGCCGGCTTCTGTGAGCCGCTGGAGGAGAACGAGTTGGAGGTGCTGCTCTCAGCTCTGCTGCCGTGGCTCTGACAGCTGGCGGGCCGGCCTTGGGGGTCCCGGCTGCCGATGGCCAAGTACTCGGGCCCCTCGCTGGCATCACTGGGGGAGTCATTCTGGCCGCTGACCCAGGATGCTGCTAGCAGGCTGGTCAGGGTGCTAGAGCTCATCTCATCTGGGGCTGAGGGGGGATCCCTGGCTAATGCCGAGACTGGAAGCAGGGGGGCTTGGAAGGCTTGATCCTGTGCTGGTGAGACGTGCTCTCTGCTCTCTTGGGGTTTTCGGGGAGGGCCAGAGAGTGAAAAGGAAGTAGATCTTCTTTCTAGGGTATAAAAAGAGGAGAAAAAGGTGAGCTGGAAATCTTTGGTACCTATGAAGGGCTTCTCTACAACTAACGACCAAACTCCCTATCATTACTGGGTGCCCGGGACACATGGTATCACCTCAGAAAAGGTACGCCATGTGAAGTAAGCAAAAATTGCTTAGAAGCAGGTAAGCCGGGTAAGGTAAGGTAAGAGCGTGGGCTCTTGACACAGTGGCTTCATCACTTACTAGTATACATTTCTCATCTGTAAAATGAGCAATAATAACAACACCTACTGCATAGGACTGTTCTGAGGATCAAATGAATACGTATAAATTGATTATAACAGAGCCTGGCACATGGCAGACGCTCAGTAAGTGTTAACTATTATTATTCAAATGTCTTCTTGGCAATATGGATTAGGAATCCAGGCCAATCTAAAAACATCTCTCTCTCCTCTCTCACTTCCATGAGTCTGCTGAATTTTCTTAGGCTAGTTACTAGACAATTTTTTAAGATGTCCATTATTAAGACATAAAATTTGACGAACTGCACCAACCCATGGCTCTATCTATACCCTCCCGTGTGCACCCACGAAGTCCCCTACTTTCCAGGGCTGGGCATACATGTCATGACTACCCCCTTCCTGTCCCCATACCTGAGCCGTGGTTAGGGACGGACTGGTGGAGGCTAGAGAAGGACCCGAAGTAGGAATGCTGAGCATAGCTGGTTGAAGGGGTGTATGTGGATCCAGGCAGAGCTGTCAGGCTCTGGCTCTTGGTTACCAGGAGCGGGCTCTCATGCTTTCTGGCAAACTACAAAACAAACGTGTCAGAGCTGAGGACAGAGGACCTCGGAGGAGGAACATTCAGCACTACAGAAATGCTAGGAGAAGAGGACCTTTGGCAGCAGGCTTGGAACCGCAGCCAGGACCCGTAGATACGGCATACAGCTCTACTGCTCTATTAGAGCATACAATTTTGAAACCTTGAAGTCCTGTCATACACCACAGCTTCTGAAACTGGAATCCTAGGTGGGACACCAGGAGCGCTTTATCATAGAGGTAGTACAACAACGTTCTTAAGACTGTGCACATAGTCAGAAATCAGATAGATCAGTATTCATATTCGGACCCTACCACTTACAAACTTGGAGCAAGTGACTTAGCTACTCTGTCCCTCAGCTGGCTACCTTTATAAAACAAGACTGATGTCTACCTTACAGAGCTGTGAGAATTAAATGAGATGAGGCAGGTATTGTGCCTAGCACCAAGCCTGGCACATAGAAAGTATTTAATAGGTGGTAACTAAGAATCAAAATTTAAAAACCAAGAGAGATAGGGGATCTCTCCTGAAAAGGAGTAGGGACTGTGATTCCATTCTAGCTGAGGAACTGATATTAGTGATGGGGTGAATGAATTGGAGGGTTAACAATAAGCAATATCAAGCAACTAAATTTTCTTTATACTTCAAGGACGAAATGATCCTGTGTCACACTAGGTCATACTAGGTATGGCACTGTAAATCTTACTCCTGATTCAAAATCATCCTCTTCCCCCCAGCTTGTCAAGCCTACCCTTAAGGAAGAGCTTACTCAGACTATGGATTTTAAAAAGGGATTTTAAAAAACAGACACCTCCCAGGGTACCTGGGTGCTCAGTCTTTACGCATCTGCCTTTGGCTCAGGTCATGATCCCAGGTCCTGAGATCGAGCCCAGCATCTGGCTCCCTGCTCAGCAGGAAGCCTGCTTCTCCCTGTCCCACTCCCTCTGCTTGTGTTCCCTCTCTCGCTGTGTCTCTCTCTGTCAAATAAATAAAATCTTAAAAAAAAAAAAATAGACACCTCCCTCCTTAAATAGACCTTAAGCTTAGACTTTTTCCTTCAATAGGTACTTAATGGTACCTCCCCTTCTTCTCCAAGTATTTTTTCTTTTTTAATGAAAGCCTTTCAGTTCACAACTGCCTAAACAAAGAAACAGTGAGCTACCGAGGGTTATATCATGGTGAGGTCCGGGGGCCCAGCACAGACACAGATCATTCCTTGCCCCCTTACCATAGACGCATCGATCTGAGCCAGGAGGCGGGGGTTGTTCTGTTCCACCGCTTCCAGGCACTGGAGCATGGCCGTGACGTGGGCGTTGCTTAGCAGGAAAGCAGTATCTGGGGAGAGAAATGCTACAGCTGCGATGGAGCCCAACAGGGGGATCTTTGGCTTCCCTACACAGCCTGGGAGAGGCTCAGGGAAGGAAAGAGACAAAAAGTGAAAATGACGTGAGGAGAATCACGCCACTGCAGAGAGAAGAGGAAGGAGGGACATGTAAGTATAGGAGAGGCTAGGTAATGCGCAGTATAAAAGAGAGGCCGTGACAAGAGGCTTCAAAGTCACAGAGTCCCAGATTTGAATCCTGGCTGGAGGTGACTTGGCCTCCTTGGGCTCTGCTTCCCCGACTGGAAAACAGGGGTATTAATACCCGGCTCTCAGGGCTGTTGGGAAGAGTATATGTGTAAACAGCACATAACAGTGACTGGCACATAAGAAACTCTTAGTAAACGGTGGTTATTCTTGTCGGTTTGTACCCATGGGATTAGGGGAAGACCTGAGCATCAAGTTGGACCGTGTTTTACTCATAAAGGAGAAGACTGGACGCATGCTTCGGATTAGAATCTCTATGGCACCGAGTGGAAGTCTGCGGCGCTGGGGTGAGAGTCTATAAAGGGAGAGTAAAGTGGAAGAGATGAAGAATTACATGCAACAATCCTGGCTAAGTGACCTCCACGTACCTGTGTAGAACTTTCTGATATACTGCCTGTCCCCGAGCAGGGGCCGGAGCTGGGCGGAGAGACAGTGGCACTGCAAGCTGTGCTGCAGCCACAGCCCGGCAACGGCATGCTCGCTCACGCCGTCGGCGCGGCTCTCGCCATTCTCGTGCAGGCTGATGAACTGCGAGGCAAGGAGGCATGGGTCAAAACACGCATCCTGGTAAAGACCGCAAGACTGGTGCCTAAGGACCCAAGAACTAAATGGAGACCGGAAGAGGAGGCGATCAGAGGGGTTTTTTCCTCCAGGTGGCATCTAGAGGTTACTGAGGAAGGAGAGGGGAAGGGGGTTTAGGGGCCCCGCTGCTGGCCTAGACCACTGGAGAAGAACGAAGCAGCTAAGACCTGATACGCAGCCCTAGGAGAGGACAACACTGACACCTTGGTCTCTTTATGTGCTGGCTCCAAAGAGACATCTAGCCTGCGGTACTGAGAGGAAGGATAAACTTGACCTCTTGGCTTCTCTCACAGAGTCCTCCATTTCGGTTGGTCTCCAGAAAACAATGCAACAAAAACCGGGGGGAAAGGATCTGGGAAGATGCCACCAAAGATTCTCCACCAAAGAGAAGCCATCTGAGCATCTCATTTTGGCTCTAGTCATAGCATTCTCTATTTGGAACCTCCTTCTACTTGGCTGTTTCTAAAAGCAAGGTCTCATAGGCAGCTTCTAAGAAGAAACAACTACAGCAATATAGTTTAGAAAAGGAAGTTAGTTGGAGGTGAAGGGGAGTGGTGGTAAGAAAAATTATGAGAGAAGGACAAAGAGTCTATGTAAGAAAACCACTGGGCTCTGGATTTTTCTCACAAAAAAGGCCAGCCTGACACCTTATGATTTGGTTTCCTGATCATTTAAAAACAAATTACTTTTCCTGACATCATTTCAGCAATGAACCTGGCAGTGGGTGGGATGTACATGAAACAAAACTAGCTAGATATTGACAAGTATTGAAGACAGGTGATAGATATTTCAGGGTTCATTACACTATTCTCTTTAATTTTGTATATATTTGAAATCTTCCATAATGAAGAGTTAAATAAATAGATACATACATTTGGCAGTGACCGATCTGGAACTAGCTGTGTAACTTTGGCCAAGTCACTAACCTCCATGAGCTGTTTCCCTGACTGGAAATCAGAGGTACTATATTGAACTAATAAGCATCCAGTCCTACTTCTCCAACCACTTCAGGGAACCTCTTGACATTTTCCCAGGATTTTGAACAGCTTCATTCTGGTCCTAATATGCAGATCTTCTGAAAATAACAAAACTTTTTCACCCCTTCCCCAGAGGATAGAAAGTAGCCTGGAGCAATGGGTTTAACACGGTTTATTTTTAAAAGCAAATAATCCTCCCCTCCAAATTAGTCCTACAGGAATAATTTCCTCAGTTAATAGGAAACTTGACACACACCATCCTTCTAGCCTAGGAGACTCTTCAGACAGAACATCAAACAACAAAGCCTTGTGGTTACTTTTCCCTTCTTACCTTCTCCACATGAAGGGCTGAGTGGGGACTGAGCCAGCGGATGTCCTTCACAAACTGCCAGTAATCAGTCTGGCGGTAACACACCTGCTGTGGGAACACATAAGGTGAAGAAATCACTACCACTTTAGACCAAATCTAGTTCTGGTGTTGACATTCAAAGAGAGGAGGAAAAAAAGGCTAACCTTCCCTACCTCGACAAAGGTTCTCAGCAGCAATCAAAAGGACATATACACATGTTCACCCTTTTTAAGGATAATTGTTAAAAAATGGTTTCAGTTGTTCTTTTGAGCAGGTAATGCATGCATATGACATAGAAGGTTACACAATGAAAATAATCTGATTTCTCCCTCATCTCTCCACCATTCAGCCCCAAAAGGTAAATCTTAAAACTGGTGAAGAGTTTAAGTTACTTGTTAAAAATCAGAGATGTATGTCTTCAGTTCTTACTGCAAAATCAAGTAAGGAAAGACCTGCTTTTCCCCGTGCTACCCAGGTCAGGAAAGGGCTGTATTTAGAGTCAAAGAAATGATCAGTTCTAGATAAAATAGTCTCACACTGGAAAAGGCCTGAACTGGAGAAGGCAAATGTTTATACTAGGAAAATCTAATTCTTATTTTTTGAGAATCCTTTCTGAGATTACTGGGCACGGATTAAAACTGAAATCTAAGTAATTTAGAAGTACAGACGTAGCACAAGCATTAAGAGACAGACTAACCAACAGAACAAAATAAACAGCCTAGAAGGAGTCCTTAAATCAGAACTTAATATATGGCCCAAAAAGCACCTCAAATGTCAATGGGTTTCTCACCTAGACTGGTAAGGTAGAAGTGAGAATTAGAAGTGTCAGCTGTACGGGCTTTTTTGCCAACTGGAGTCATGAAGACCTTTAAGATCTTGGCAGCAGTGTGGCAGTGTTTCTGATCTCTGTTCTGTGGCTTAGTAGACACTGAGTGGCCAGGGATGGGCAGCAGTGGAATATCAACTCCAACATGTCTCCTTTGTGAATAGGAGTGAATAGGATCTATGTGAATAGGATCCAAACTTGGTTTCCTTTCTTTAGGCAAAATTCTAGGCTAACTCAGAAATCAAATTAGGGACATCACTATAGATATCACGGACATTACAGAGGAATACTATAAACAACTCTATGCTCACTAGTGTGACAACCTAGGTGAAATAGACCAATTCCTTGAAAGATACGATCTGCCAAATAGTACCAGGAAGAAATAGATAATCTGAGTAGGCCTATACCTCTTAAGAAAAATGGAATCAACAATTAATAACTTTCCAAAACCAAAAGCACCAGGCCTAGATGGGTTCACTGGTGAATTCTACTAAACATTTATTTATACCAATTCCCTATAATGCCTTTAAGAAAACAGAAGCAGAGGAAAATACTTCCCCAAATCATTCTATGAGGCCAGCATTATCCTAACACCAAGACCAGAAAAAAACATCACAAGAAAACTATGGACCAATATCTCTCATGAACATAGATGCAAAAATCCTCAACAAAATATTAGCAAATCAAATCCAACATTGTATAGAAATAATTGTACACCATAACCAAGCAGGATTTACACCAAGTATACAAGGCTGGTTCAACATTCCAAAATCAACACATCAAATCACATCAATGGAATGTGATGGAATTCGTCACATCAACAGCCAAATAAGAAAAAAAAAATCACATGATCATATCAATAGATGCAGAAAAAGCATCTGACAAAACTCAACACCCATTCATAATAAAAACTCTCAGTAAACTAGGAATAGAGGGGAACTTCTTCAAATTGATAAAGAACATCTACAAAAACCTACAGCTATCATCATACTTAATGGTAAGAAGCTCAAAGCTTTCCCACTAAGATCGGGAACAAAGCAAAGATGTCTCCTCTTCCTACAACTTTTTAACATCTTACTGGAAGCCCTAGCTAATGCAATAAGGAGAAAAAAAAAAGAGAAAAGAAAAGGCATACAGATTGGGAAGGAAGAAATAAAACCGCTTTTGTTCACAGAGGACATACTCATCTAAGTAGAAAATTCTTAAAAATCAACAAAAAAGTTCCTGGAACTAGTAAGTGATTATAGCAAGGTCATAGGATTCAAGGTTAATTTGAAAAACGAACCACTTTCCTATATATTAGCAATGAGCAAGTGGAATTTGAAAATAAAAACTCCCAAAAATGAAATACTTAGATATAAACCTAATACAAATATGTACAAGATCTACATGAGGAAAACTATAAAACACTGATGAAAGATAGCAAAGAACCAAATAAATACAGAGATAATCCATATTCATGGATAGGAAGACTCAATATTGTCAAATGTCAGTTCTTCCCAACTTGATCTATAGATTCAATACAATCCAATCAAAATCCTAGCAAGTTATTTTTTGGATATCAATAAATTCATTGTTAGGTTTATATGGAGAAGCAAAAGACCCAGAATAGCTAAAACAATATTGAAAGACAAGAGCAAAGTTTCTCTTCAAAAACGACTGACACTATCTGACTTGAAGACTTACTATAAAGGCACAGTAATCAAGGCAATGTAGTATTGGGGAATAAATAGACAAAGAGAGCAGTGAAACAGAATAGAGAGCTCAGAAACAGACACACATAAATAAAATCAACTAACCTTTGACAAGGGAGCAAAGGCAACACAATGGAGCAATTACAGTCTTTTCAACATGGTGCTGAAACACTGGACATCCACATGCAAAAAAAATGAATCTAGACACAGACCTTACACCTGTCACAAAAATTAAGTCAAAATGAGTCATAGACGTAAATGTAAAATGCAAAACTATAAATCTTCTAGAAGATAACATAGGAAGAAACTTAGATGACCTTGGGTATGGTGATGACTTTTCTGATACAAGACCAAAAGCATGATCCATGAAACAAAGAACTTGTAAGCTAGACTTCACTAAAATTAAACACTTCTGCTCTGTGACCAACAATGTCAAGAGAAAGAAAAGACAAACCACAAACTGGGAGAAAATATTTGCACAAGCCACATATGATAAAGGAATGTTATCCAAAATATATGAAGATGCAAATTAAAACAACACAGTACCACTATATACTTACATTAGAACGGCCAAAATACAAAACAATACCAACATTAAATGCCGATGAGGATGTGGAGCAAAAGGAACTCTCATTCATTGCTCGTGACAACGCAAAATGGTATAGCTACTTTGGAAGACAGTTTGGCAGTTTCTTACAAAACTAAATATACTTTTACCATAGGATCCAGCAATTACATTCCTTGGTATTTAACCAAAGGAGCTGAAAATTTACGCCCACACAGAAACTTCTATAAAAACTTGATGTCAAACTATGTAGAGGCAAGACAACTTTCAAAGTTAGAAGGAAAAAAAAAACTAAAAATGTAGGTTTTATACTAATATTACTGGATCTTTAACCTGCTAGTCCAGTATAAGGAAATTAAAACTGGAAGTCCTGTATCATGTATTATGGGTGCAATTTATTCAAGAAAGATGCTATGAAACTCCATCAGTGGATCCATACTCCCAGAAAAGGTTTTGGCCCTATATCCAAAGACTGTTGAATAAATGTAATTTTAGATGTTTTAAAATAAAATAAAATGTTTGAATGACTCCTTAATTGCTCTCATTTGATCAGAAAATGATTCAGATCACGTTGTATAAGAAGGTTTTCCTGTCCTTATCCAAAAAATGATGAAGCAGTTAAGGACTAAATAAAATGACAAATGTTTGAATGTTAGGGGAAAAAAATCAACAACAAAAGATGCATACAGGGTGCCTGGGTGGCTCAGTCGTTAAGTGTCTGCCTTCGGCTCAGGTCATGATCCCAGGGTCCTGGGATCAAGTCCCACGTCGGGCTCCCTCCTCGGGGGGAAGCCTGCTTCTCCCTCTCCCACTCCCGCTGCTTGTGTTCCTGCTCTTGCTATCTCTGTCTCTGTCAAATAAATAAATAAAATCTTAAAATAAAAAAAAAGATGCTGTACAAGTGAGGGGCTATTTCTACCATAATGAAAAGCTACAATAATTAAAACTGAGCAGAGATGACACAAAATAGACAACAACAGACCATAATAAAAAACCAGAAATAGATCTGTGTGCCAAGGGAATTAAGTAACTTCAAAATAAATTACAGATGAAATGGTTTAAGTGTAAAAAATAAAGCCATTAATAGAAGAAACCAGGGAGAAACATTTGTAATAACCGTACAGTGGGGAAGCCCTTTCAGAGCATCATACAGAGCCCAGAAGCCCTGAAAGAAACAATCAGTTTGACTTACTAAAAATCAGAGGGGCGCCTGGGTGGCTCAGTCGGTTAAGCGCCCAACTCTTGATTACGGCTCAGGTCATGATCTCAGGATTGTGAGATCAATCCCCATGTGGGTATGCTCAGTAGGGAGTCGGCCTGAGATTCTCTCTCTCCCTCTGCACTCTGCACCTCCCCACCACAAGTGTATGTGTGTGCTCTCTCTCAAAATAAATAAAAGGTTCTCTCTCCCTCTCCCTTTGCCCCCCCATCAGATATTTCTACATATAAAAGCCACCATATGAAATGGCAAAAGACAAACCAGGAGAAAATATTTGCAATTCACATTACAAAGGATTAATTCCATTAATAAAAAACTCTTACAAATCCATAGGAAAAGACTAACAATCCAATGGGGGAAAATAGGAAAAAGTTCATAGAAAATAAGGCTCTCATAAACATCTTTCATAATAAGAGAAATGTAAATTTTTACCTATCATATTGGTGATAGTTACAGTTTAGTAACACCCCATACTGGCATGGGTTTGGAGAAGCAAATACTCTTATACATTGTTGGTGAGGATGTAAACAGACATAACTTCCTGGAGGGCAATTTAGCAGTACCTATCCAAATTGAAATGCACATACCCTTTAGCCTAAAAATTCTACTTCTAGGAATATCCTATGGTAAAGGGCAAAATGACACAAGGCTTATTCACCTTAGCACTGTTGCTAACTGTAAACGACTGGAAGTAATCTAAAAGTCCATTACCAGGGGACTGGTTACATAAATTATGGTACATACAATGGAATATTATAAAATGACAGCTGTAAAAAAGAAAAGTACTTTATGTAATGATTTGGAATGAATCACAAGACATATCAAGTGAAAAAACCAAGGTGCAGAGTAGTAATTATAGCATGCTTTTATTTGTATGGAAAATCAAGAAGTATAGCAAAGAAAAGTATTCATAAAATCTTTTATAAACATAAAAATTCTTTGGAAAGAAACTGGTAAACAGCAGTTACCTACAGGACTGGAAGGAAACAAGATATTTCACTGAATATAGTTATATGCTTTTTTTAACCATATAAATGTACTGTTTATTTAAAAAACTAAATATATAAAATGTATTACTTTAAAAAATTAAATATTTTAAAGCAAGTTACACAATGATATGTACAGTACAATCTTAATATTTTAAAAAGCGCATAAATGCAGAGAAAAAAAGTAAGATCTACCCAAATGTTAAAGAGTAATAATACTTGGTGTTGACTTGAGGGTGATATTTACTTTCTTCAAATTCTTTTTCAGTATTTTCCAAATTTTCAACAAATAAAAATATATAACATATATTCAGAAAAAAAAAATACACAGAGGTCTTTTGTGTTGTTATTGTTATTTTTTAAATCGGGCCACCTATATTGCCAAGAAGAAGTTTCTTCTTGGTGGTGGAAAAGAGGAGAATCTTTTTATTTCTCCTATTCAGCTGAGGAATCTTAGGGACTGAGTGTCTCCACATTTCTAAGCAGTAGAAAAGAAAAGATCAAATATGCCTTGCCTTATGGGAAAACTAAAAGGTAGCCCCGATGCAGGCTGTCAGGGAAAATGAGATCTCTCTAAAAATATGGTCATGATGTTATAGCTTTCATAAGGCCCTGAGTGCTTTAAAAAAATAAAGTTCACATTCCATAACACATCCTCATGAAAGCACAGAATAGATACGACCAGCGTGAATCACTGTATCCCTTCCCCCTCTCCAAGGGCACAACACCCAGAATAGCTTCCTGATGACGCAGCAGCCAGAAGCCTTTGAAAGCCTTAATCTTTAGGGAGGAAATGAAAGGGAAAAATAAGTCCTTGACACAGACATTAATTGTTAGATCTTCACAAGGCAGAACAGAGCAGCAGTGAAACTGGTATGGATCTTCTGGTTATGATTCTTTCCATTATAGCCTGTAGTTGAAAAGTGTGTGTATGACAGATTTGCCTGGTTTACTCTGTTTTCACTTATGAACACTACCGCTATTTTGCAGATGACCATATACTTTAATATTTTTCATTCTGATAATGACATGCTTTCACAGATACCATTCATTAATAATTCTAACGAGATACATTAATATTGTTTTGCCTTTACCAAACAACCTTCATTTGGAATCCCACTGACTTTACTATTTCATTATGACATTTTCTCTTTCTGGCACAGATGGGAAAACTGCCTTGTAATATGGTGAAGTGATTACTCTAGATGACAATGTAAAATTAGTAACAGAGCCAAGAAAAGAACCTTTTTGGTATCAAGATGCAAGTGCTTAACCACTAAAATGGTAGTGACACTAATCTAGTAGTTATTTTGGTCATCAGCCTGGGAAACTTGTATTGAGTTTTTGTACAACATGTGGCATGATTCCCAAGTTTCTGGCTTGGGAGACTGAGTGGCTGGCAATGCCACAAATTAGTGTTAAAAATAGGAGGAAGGGCAATCTCATGAGGAAAATAAGTTTGTTTTGGGTCATTTTGTGCTTGGCCTGTACGACAGACAGCTATATGATAATGTATAGCAGACAGCTAGTCTTATGGATCTGGAGTTCAGCAGAGGTGTCTGAACTGGGGGTCTTCAGTACATGGGTGATAGTTAAAACAATGCGAGTAGGTGAGGCTGTTTCAGGAAAATGTACAAAGTAAGAAGAGATAAGGACATAGGACAGAATCCCACTAAATGCTAAAATCCAAAAAGAAGAGATTCCAGGGAAAGAAACTAAGAAGGAATGGTCACAGAGGGAGGAGAACTCTATGACATTAGAAGGTAATAATGCCGGGGCGCCTGGGTGGCTCAATCGTTAAGCGTCTGCCTTCGGCTCAGGTCATGATCCCAGGGTCCTGGGATAGAGCCCTGCATCGGGCTCCCTGCTCAGCAGGAAACCTGCTTCTCCCTCTCCTACTCCCCCTGCTTGTGTTCCCTCTCTCGCTGTCTCTCTCTGTCAAATAAATAAATAAAACCTTTAAAAAAAAAAAAAAGGAAGATAATAACACCGTACATGTAAGTCAAGGTGTGATGATGGTCAACAGTGAAGAACATATGACAGTGTTCAAAGAAGAAGAAATGTTCATGGATCTGGTAACATGGACATGATTTTACTTAAATTTCAGTAGCAAGATCACCAGTGGTATGGGCAAAAACCAGATTGCAGTGGGTTGACTTATTTGTTCTATAAATTCCAGTCTTCGTAACTATTTTTTTTCCATAGGACTACATGTAACTTGAAACTTTAAAAAATGAAAGAAACAATTATTATTTCCTATGTGCCACCAACTGCATAGGCAAATTTGTGTGCTATTTCATTTCATCTGTCCATCAAACATTACGATATAAATAACATTATCTTCATTTGTATAGATGAGAAAAACAAGCCTCAAAAAAATTAATATTGCCTAAGAGTTAAGATCAACTGTCAACTTATGTTTTTTAAAGCTTTTCATGTATATCATCTCATTTAATTCTCACAATAATCCTATGAGGTAGGTACCAGGGTTATCTCATTTTACAAATGAGTAAACAGGCATAAAGCGGTAACTTACCCAATACTACCCAGTGCTGAAGCTGGGATTAAAATATGAACAGTTCAACTCAGACGTCTATAACGGTAACTAGTACTCCATTTTTTTTTTCCCCCAAGCACCTGAGCAGTGAGTCTAGATTTCAATCTAGGTTCTACCTGGTTCCAAAGACTTTTATCAGTGTACCACACAATGCTGCCTCCAAATTCCCAGAATGGTGTTTGAATAACAATAACCATTAAGAAACTCTCCGAGAGAGCCTCAATTTCAGAACTTATTCTGAATAAAGAAAATCTAACCTAAGCCAACTTCTCCATTGAATTCTGAAAATATCTAACAGGAACATTAGTTTGAAGATACTGTTCAGAAGTAATATACACATATTTTCAGAAGGGAGGGTAGCATATTAAATCCTATCAACTGTGAATACCTTAATGCCAATTATTTGATTAGCTCTTTTTCAATGTGACTGCTAGTCTAGTTGAGAATAAGTTCTGATTAAAAAATTCTAGAGAAGCTTGGCTCAAGAGAGAGAGTTCCAGGGAAGAATACTAGACCCTGACATGGGATGAGCATGAGTGTTTGGGAACACATGATTATGCACATATTTGTGAGGTCTGATTTTTTAAAGTAGGAGGATACCAGAGCCAATGACTCACTTGACAATTTTATCCAGATCTGAACCTTATTTAAAACACTGCAAATGGAGTAATTGCCAAAGATGAAGCAAAAACCATTAAGTATTATTACATTTCACTCCTTATCAATACTCAAAGTTTATTAGAGTGAGGATATTACAGAAAAGAAACTCAGTATTAATAAAGTTTATATTTTAAAAAATTAAGCTGGGGCGCCTGGGTGGCTCAGTTGGTTGAGCGACTGCCTTCGGCTCAGGTCATGATCCTGGAGTCCCTGGATCGAGTCCTGCATCGGGCTCCCTGCTCGGCAGGGAGCCTGCTTCTGCCTCTGACCCTCCCCCCTCTCATGTGCTCTCTCTCTCATTCTCTCTGTCTCAAATAAATAAATAAAATCTTAAAAAAAAAAAAAATTAAGCTGTAACTAAAACTATCATTCCCAAGAATCAACCAGTTATCTACAAAATGATGCTGAGGATATTCTAAAAATGACAATATTCTGTAAATACTTCTCAGATGTGCCCTAAGGTGCTCCTAAGAGAAAAATCCTAGTGATTCATCATCATTATCCTTATTGTCCTCCTCCTCCTCATATTACAGTTCTACCCTCAAGGGCTCACAAACTAGTGGCCTTCATGTTCTCCCTGCCAACAACTTAATGCAACTGTTTCTTTCCAACAAGTGGTACAGTTAATCTGGCAAAAAAGAAGAGGTTTACATACCTGGTCGTGGATGAGCCCATGATAGAGGATGCTCTGCATGTCCCTGCAAAGCCGTTCCAGGCCACCATACTTGGACCAGACGTTGGGACTGTTGGCTGACACCAGACCCTCCACAGTAGTCTTCAAATTACCCAGCAGCTGCCAGTGCTCCCTCCTGCAAGGGCATCAATTATACCAATGGTTAGTTAACTTTGTTGTACCGTGCAGCGGAAGCGTGCTGGGCCCATAACTTTGTTGTACCTGATCCTAATCATGTCAAAGAAAGTCTAAGCCAAGAAGCCTCCTGCCCTACATCTTAACATTTTCTCCCCTATTAATTTTTTACTTGGGCATAAAACCCAATTCTGAAAGAATTTAAGTTGTAAAGAACACTAAGATTTAAAAACAAAAACAAAAACAAATGAAAACCCTCACTCTTAATGTGGCATATTATGCATTGTAAGGTGATCTTCATCTATTATCTCATTTAATTCTCACCTAAGTAACCTATAACCCTGTGTTTCTAGGAGTGTGACCCATCAAGATCCATTTCTGGAAATGATAGTACATGAGCAACATATAAAGAGATGAGGGCATTTACCCAAAACCAGAAATCTTTTTCCAAACGAAAAAGCCAAAAATGAATTTTCACTATATTTCCACGCACTGAGTACCCATACCTATATGCAAATATTATGGTTAAGAATACAAATTACCCATGACTTCCCCCCATAGTTTTTTAAGCTAAAATTAAGACAAAAATGCTCTGTTTGCACTGAGCCACTTTGGGACATGCCCCCCAAAATCAATCAACTTTTGGCTTATTCTTCTGAACCATGTGAAGTACTGAGAGGAAAAGTCTGAAAATTGTTATACTGCACACTTTAACTTGCCCTTCCATTTCTTATTATAATACTACTCTTTATACTTTTCAAGGACAGTCATGGGACTAATTTTTTTCAGGGAAATTTCACCATACTATTTTATATCATTTAAATACCTATAGGGGTAGTGCACTGAATTGGAATCCTTTCTATTAGTATTCAAAACTAACTTACTTGTACATTTTTTGAGTCATTTTTAAAAGTGGATGAATAAAGACAAATAAAATAAAATGAATGAAGCTAGGTCCAGTATAGGAGTGTCATCTAAAAAGAGAAAGCCAGATGAATCTCAATCTGGTCTTCTGCTTTCAAGACCTTAAGACCAAGAATTTATTCAAACTGGGAGACAACAGGCTTTCTTAACCTTACACCGTTCAACATTCAAGTCACCAAACTCAGTTGTTCCATTTCTTTCTTCCCAAATTTATTGATATAATTAACATATTATATTACTTTAAGGTATATAACACAATGATTTGATATACATATATATTGTAAAATGATTACCACAATAAAATTAGTTAGCATTTATCACCTAGCATAGTTAACAAATTTTTTTCTTGTGATGAGAACATTTAGATCTACTCTCTTAGCAACTTTCAAATATACAATACAGGAGAGGGAGGAGAAAGACGGCAGAGGAGTAGGAGACCTAAATTTCATCTGGTCCCAGGAATTCAGCTAGTTATCAAACCATTCTGAATACCTACAAACTCAACAGGAGATCAAAGAAAAGATTAGCAGCAATTCTATGAATAGAAAAGCGACCATTTTCTGAAAGGTAGGACATGTGGAGAAGTGAATCCAAGGCGATATTCGGGAAGATAGATGGTCGGGGGGGAGGGAGCCTCCATCAGCCGATACCGGCAAGCGATAGAGCCACGGAGCACAAAATCGGAACCTTTAGAAGTCAGCTCCGCTGAGGGACGCCGCTCCAGTGGCTAAGCAGGGGGTGGAATCCTCACTGGGAAAGTGCGGTCTCAGGACCCCCGGGGTCACAGAAAAACCGGGGGTGCCTGAGTGCGGCAGAGCTCCCAGGTATCAGAGCGGGGAAGCCGGCTGCAGAGACAGAGCCAAGGAGTGGGCTCTCAGCTCGGGGTTGCCATAAACCGTGATCTGTGGCACAGTCGGGCCACTGCTCTTCCAGCAGGGACCCAAAAAGCAGAAGATCCGGGTAGACTCCCCCTCCTCCCCTGGGAGGAGCAGCGCGGGAGCACACCGCAGGGACCTGCTGGGTTTGGAGACTCCACATGGGGTCATGTGCCAGAGATAAAAATGCTTGGTCACAGGCTGGGTGAGCACAGAGTGTGGCCGGGACAGGGAGACAGGAGAGCTTGACTGCTTTTCTCTGGGGGCTCACTGAGGAGTGGGGCCCCGAGTTCTCCGCTTGGGAGTTCTCAGCTTGGGAGTCCGCCATATTCACTCTTGTCCTCCAAAGCTCTACGGAAAGTTTGCAGGGAACAAAAGATACCCAAGAGCAAACCCAAGCAGATTACTTAGCCCCACTCCAGCAAGGGCGGGGCAATTCCGCCACCGGCAGACATTTGCAAACCCCTGCAACAGGCCCCTCCCCCAGAAGATCAGCAAGAATAGCCAGCCAAGACCAAGTTTACCAATCAATGAGAATGGCAGAACTCTAGCACTACAGGAATACAGCTCACAGAATTCATGGTTTTTTCCCCATGATTCTTTAGTTTTTCAAAGTTAATTTTTTTAATTTTCTTTTTTTTCTTTTTCTATTTTTTTTGAATTTTTCTTTTTCCCTTTCTCAACGAACATCTTATCAATCCCTTTTTTAAAAATCTTTTTTATTTTTCATTTTTAGAGTCATATTCTATCCCTTCATTGTAGTTAACCTTACTTTTGTATATATATAAGTTGTTCTCTCTTTAAAATTTTGGGCTACAGTTTCTTCTAACAGACCAAAATATACCCTAAATCTCTAGTGTATGGCTTTGTTATAGTCTCCTGTCTGATCACATTCTCTCCTCCCCTTTTTTTTTTTCAAATTTCTCTTCTTTCTTTTTTCAGCCAACTTCTTATCTTATCAATTTCTTTTATAAAATCTTTTATAATTTTCATCTTTACAGTCATATTCCTTCCCTTCATCATATTTACCCTTATTGTTATACATATATAAGTTTTTCTTTCATTAAAATTTTGGGAGGCAGTTTCTTATAACAGACCAAAATACGCCCAAAATCTAGTATGTGGCACTGATCTATTCATCATTATTTGATCATATCCTTTTTTTCTTTTTCTTTTCTTTTTTCTTTCTTTCCCTTTCTTTCCCCCGGTTTCGGGTCTCTTCTGATTTGTTTAGTGTATATTTTTCTGGGGTCACTGTTACCCTGTTAGCATTTGTTCTCTCATTCATCTTTTCTCCTCTGGACAAAATGACAAGACGGAAAAACTCACCTCAAAAAAAAGAACAAGAGGCAGTACCAACTGCCAGGGACTTAATCAATATGGACATTCATAAGATGTCAGAACTAGAGTTCAGAATGACGATTATAAAGATACTAGCTGGGCTTGAAAAAAGCATGGAAGATACTTGAGAAACCCTTTCTGGAGAAATAAAAGAACTAAAATCTAACCACGTCTAAATCAAAAAGGCTATTAATGAAGTGCAATAAAAAATGGAGGCTCTAACTGCTAGGATAAATGAGGCAGAAGAGAGAATTAGTGATATAGAAGACCAAATGATGGAGAATAAAGAAGCTGAGAAAAAGAGAGATAAACAACTACTGGGTCACGAGGATAGAATTCGAGAGATAAGTGATACCATAATACGAAACAATATTAGAATAATTGGGATCCCAGAAGAAGAAAAAAGAGAGAGAGGGGCAGAAGGTATATTGGAGCAAATTATAGCAGAGAACTTCCCTAATTTGGGGAAGGAAACAGGCATCACAATCCAGGAGGCACAGAAAACTCCCCTCAAAAATCAATAAAATTAGGTCAATACCCCAACATCTAATAGTAAAACTTACAAGCCTCAGAGACAAAGAGAAAATCCTGAAAGCAGCTCGGGACAAGAGGTCTGTAACCTACAATGATAGAAACATTAGATTGGCAACAGACCTATCCACAGAGACCTGGTAGGCCAGAAAGGACTGGCATGATATATTCAGAGCACTAAAGAGAAAAATATGCAGCCAAGAATACTATATGCAGCTAGGCTGTCATTGAAAATAGAAGGAGAGATAAAAATCTTCCAGGACTAACAAAAACTAAAAGAATTTGCAAATACGAAACCAGTCCTACAAGAAATATTGAAAGGAGTCCTCTAAGCAAAGATAGAGCCTAAAAGCAACATTGACCAGAAAGGAACGGAGCCAATATACAGTAACAGTCACCTTACAGGCACTACAATGGCACTAAATTCATATCTTTCAATAGTTACCCTGAATGTAAATGGGCTACATGCCCCAATCAAAAGACACAGGGTATCAGATGGTATAAAAAAACAAGACCCATCGATATGCTGTCTGCAAGAGACTCATTTAGACACTTTAGACCTCCAGATTGAAAGTGAGGGGGTGGAAAACAATTTACCATGCTAATAGACATCAAAAGAAAGCTGGGGTGGCAATCTTTGTATCAGACAAATTAGATTTTAAACCAAAGACTATAATAAGAGCTGAGGAAGGACACTATATCCAACAAGAAGATCTAACAATTGTAAATATCTATGCCTCTAACATGGGAGCAGCCAATTATATAAGCCAATAAATAACAAAATCAAAGAAACACATTGACAACAATACCATAATAGTAGGGGACTTTAACACCCCCCTCACTGAAATGGACAGATCATCTAAGCAAAAGATCAACAAGGAAATAAAGATTTTAAATGATACACTGGACCAAATGGACTTCACGATATATTGAGAACATTCCATCCCAAAGCAACAGAATACACATTCTTCTCTAGTGCCCATGGAACATTCTCCAGAATAGATCACATCCTAGGTCACAAATCAGGTCTCAACTGGTACCAAAAGATTGGGATCATTCCCTGCATATTTTTGGACCACAATGCTTTGAAACTAGAACTCCATCACAAGAGGAAAGTCAGAAAGAACTCAAATACATGGAGGCTAAAGAGCATCCTACTAAAGAATGAATGGGTCAACCAGTAAATTAAAGAAGAATTTATAAAATTCACAGAAACAAATGAAAATGAAAATACAATTGTTCAAAATCTTTGGGATGCAGCAAAGGTGGTCCTAAGAGGGAAGTATATAGCAATGCAAGCCTTTCTCAAGAAATAAGAAAGGTCTCAAAC